GGGTCATAAGCGGGAATGTATTACATGCAGCACGGATGCTGTAGTCTTGCTGAGTAATATAAGCTCGCTTGGCTTTTGCCGACTTACGTCACCTATGGCAAAGACGAGATATCCGTCTGTCAATAAAATGACGAGTATAGTGCGCGGCAGTCCGTTCTGTTTTAATTTACGGCAGCGAAACATGGCCATTAAGAGTAGAAGACACTCGTAAGCTACTAGTATTTGACGACAGATGCCTTAGAAATATTGCTGGCGTCTGCTGGGATCACCGGGTAAGTAATAGTGAGGTTAGACACAGGGTATTAGAGAATGATGGTAAATTAGTTGATGAGGTTGTGAATCTTCATCGACTGAGATGGTTGGGCCACGTGTTACGTATGCCCGAACACCGATTACCACGACGTGCAATGCTCACCGGTGTTGGAGATGGTTGGAAGAAGGTTAGGAGCGGCCAAACCAAAACGTGGCATCAGTGCTTGAAGTCACTAACTTCTAGTCTGAGCCATGTTGGTAGATGCAGACTAGTTGGTTGGGGTCCGCGTGACTATCGTAACCAATGTTTGGAGACTCTTGGTGACATGACTCAGAATCGATCACAGTGGCGTCGGTGTATACACTCTCTGTCTTCCCTCAAACTAAGAGATTAAAATCGCTTCATATCTTTCTTTCTACTAACTAATTCTTTCTTCCTGTACTCTATCCTTATTGCAATCTTTCTTTTATGAATTACCACCTCTGAATTAACTACTTCTATGAATCGGGCGTCCATCTTGTTGTGTTAATGAGGTATGGCAACTTGGACCGATGGATATATGTGCCTGGTCCTATGTTGTAGCTGACTGACTGACATAAGTTAAGAGAATTAAGTGAATGAAAACCTACGAAGGACAGGGCTTACCACCTCGGCAAACCTCATATAGGTGGGCTACCTGTCCATTCCGATAAGGCTCATACAGACAAACAGGACGAAGCTCACGCGTTCCAAATTGAAAGCATAAACCGCTTATATATGAACGCCGCGAGTCTACCAAACAAATTGGATGAATTACGTGAACTTAGTAGCGCTAATAAGGCCCATCTGATAGGAATATCTGAAACCTGGATATCTTCTCAGTTCTCGGACCATGAGTTAGCATTACCTGGGATGTCTTTGTTCCGCAACGACAGAAAATCAGGAATTGGGGGCGGAGTAGCCGTTTACATACGTTCTTGCTTGGAGGTGCATCAAGTTCATAACCTCGAGTTTAACAATCTTGAGGAATCCATATGGTGCTCTGTAAGATTGTCCAGTACTTCGAGGTGTCTAGTCGGAGTCATTTACAGGAAGCCAACTGCCGACATCGAGTACGATAGTCGTATGCTGGAAGGACTATCCCGCTCTACTCGTCTCGGTTTCACACACATCCTGATTCTAGGGGACTTTAATCTCCCTAGAGTCAACTTCGCGGAACACACGTATACTGGAGGCGACAACTCAATTGAAGCTCGGTTCTTCAACCTCATCGATGACTTGGGATTATACGAAAATGTGAGGTCGGCAACTCGTTGGAGAAACAGTCAGACACCATCGCGCTTAGACTGTGTATTCACAAACGAAGAATTCCTAGTTGACAACCTCTCAATCCTGGCTCCCCTGGGAAAAAGCGATCATGCCGTCATAGCCTTCAGTTTTGTCAGCAAAACTAAGCTAAGGTATCCCACCAATAACTTGCGTTGGAATTTTAAACGGTTGAATGTGCCAGCTCTACACGACTATCTACAACAGGTGGTTTGGGATGTTCACCCTCAACTCGATGTGGACGGTCATTGGGACTTCTTACTGCACACGCTCTTATGTGCTACAAACCATTCAGTTCCTCAAACGGTTCCCAAAAGCTGCAAGCCACCTACAATAATCAAGAACCGTACCCTTCGCCTGCTAAGCCGCAAAAGGCACTGTTGGGCGGAATACAAACGAACTGACAACGACGGAGCGTACAGGCAATATAAACATATCAGGAACATATGCACGAAGGCTATAAGAGAAGATAGGCTTCAGTACCAGACAAAGCTTATGGACAAATTTTCCTCTAATCCTAAAAGCTTATTCCGTTATGCAGCCTCTCTTCGTCAAGCCAAAACTGGAGTTTCCCAACTGGTAGGTCTTAACGGCCCGACCAACAACGATGGCGACGCCGCTAACCTTCTGGCTGAACATTACTCCCAGACATTTCAACCGACCGACATCAACTTTACTGATGACAGTTTCATCTGCAATTCCACAGGACTTTCCGAAGTGAACCTAAGCGCTGACTTGGTGTTCCGGAAACTGCAGCACTTAAGACTAGACACTTCTCCTGGCCCGGACATGGTCCATTCCGCCATACTGAGGGAAGCAGCCTCAATCCTGGCAACGCCGCTTAGCGTGATGTTCACACACTCGCTAAGTAGAGGAAAGCTACCGGAAAATTGGAAGCTGGCTCACATCACACCAATTTTCAAAGGAGGTCGACGCGGCCAACCTTCAAGTTACCGACAGGTGGCTCTTCTCTCAATACCTTCAAAAATCATGGAGTCCCTGATATGCGATGGTATAAATGACTATTTACTGTCCTTAAATTTCTTCTCACCCCAACAGCATGGTTTCAGGAAGGGTTACTCTTGTATTACCAACCTGCTGACTGCGGTGGACAGATGGACAAGCATCCTTGATCACAAGGGGAAGGTTGATATCATCTACCTAGATTTCTCAAAAGCTTTTGATAAGGTTAACCATACATGTCTTATCAATAAGCTCAAACGATTGGGTATCAGACCACCTCTAATCGATTGGCTCACTTCATACCTGAAAAATCGACATTTTAAGGTCAGGGTTAATTTCACTTTATCTCAGGCTATGGAATGTCCTAGTGGGGTCCCCCAGGGCTCAGTACTAGGACCTTTTCTCTTCTTGATCTACATAAATGATCTTCCTCAACAGGTAACGTCAGACTTATTACTTTTTGCCGACGACGTGAAACTTTGGAGAGAGATACGCAACCAAGACGATATACAGGCACTTCAGGAGGATCTGACTCGACTTCAAAGTTGGGCAGACGATAACGGACTTACCTTTAACACTTCAAAGTGTAAAGTAGTCCATCTGCGACATGTCGCAGACTACAGTTACAACTCCTCTCTAGTAGTATCCCAAGTCGAAAAAGATTTAGGAGTTCTGGTGCCCTACGATTTAAAGTCTTATGCTAACTGTGACAAAAATGCCTTCCGAGCAAACCTTGCACTGGTAACATTGAAGCGCATTTTTGGCCAGTTTGACGGAAGAACTTTCCATATAATCTTCAATAGTTTTATCCGTCCCCATTTAGAGTACGGAAACATAGTATTTCCCCCTTACTCCAAAAGGATAAGGACACCCTGGAGCGTATCCAACGGCGAGCCACGAAATCAGTTCGAGGACTCAAATTTAAACCTTACGAAGAGCGCCTCCATTCAATTAACCTTTACCCATTAGAGTATAGACGTCTTAGAGGTGACCTTCTAATGGCTTACAGTATCCTTAACACTTCTGGACATCCTCTCAAACACCTACTTAAGCTTAGTTCCAACACTAACCTAAGAGGTAACACCCAAAAACTGGAGACACAATATAGCAGAACGGACTGTAGACACAACTTCTACTCCTTAAGAGTTGTCAAATGCTGGAATTCGCTGCCGGCCGAGCTAGTCCAAGCGACTTCCCAGGAGTCCTTTAAGAGGCAACTTGATCTATTCTTAAGGACTAAGGATAGTACCACACTATGATTTACTAATTTCTTTTCCTCTTTTATTGTTAACATACCTAGGTTCCTGCCTGGAGGATTTGGTGATCCCCTGCTACTAGACACGGAAGCCTGTTAAGCGAAAGGTTCTTCTATTCCGTCCACAACCACTTAAACCATTTGAATTTGAAAACCATTGAATAAATGTTGACAATGGTCTAACTATAGTATACATATATGTATACATACATGTATGTGTTACCATAATATGACGGTTTACGGATGGTTTAGTTCGAGATCTTTTTCTGGGTCACCTAAGCGATAGAGTTAATGAGATTTTTCCATGCAAACTCGCTCCCTAGAAGTATCTTCGTATACAATTTCGAAGTTCAGATAGCTAAGTTTGGGGGTAAGAAGTTAATTATGAATCCTCATCTATGCAAACATAGTTTACGTACGTAGACAAATAACCAAATGATTTTGATTGAGATATAGAGGGCCGGTTCCCCAATGTCAGGATTTTAGGGAGACCTTGGGTTTTTTCCTCAAGTCGTGGAAATTATTAATTTTCCACAGTGTCTGGGGAAAATATTGGTTATAACCCAAAATTTTCTCAAACTTCTCGAGGATTTCCTCAAAACAACTTAAAACGTCGGGGTTTTAGTAGCATTCCCTCTAAAATGTTTTATTTCATCTTAACCTCAAATTTCCCAAAACTGATAAAGCATTAGCCAAGATCGGGAAATTGGATTGTGTCCTATTTTAGATTGGTTCACGGTTTACAGTGGAGGAATCTGAAATAAACGTACTCACAAAATGTGAAGGTAGTTGCAATGAATTTTCTTCGAAAAATTGAATGTATTGAGAACAATAAATGAAATTCTGGCCTATATCCAATATCTTTGTTGTGAGCCTGTGTTAACCTTTTGATTTCTTTGGGCTTTTTGTTGGTGTTTCTGTGCGGTTCCAGGTCTTTGGTAACGTTTAGTGGAAGTGGTCTGGCTATTCAGCTGCACTAATTTGTGTCGTTTTCAATCTTAACTTATCATAAAACATATTTTAATACAGCTGAAATTTGATTACTTCCAAATATTTTTTTAAAATACGTAAAATGATCAAAACTATCATTATTTTAACGTTTACTGAACATAGATATTCTTAAGATTTTATTTCACTTTTTTGTTTTTAGATTGTCGATATCCCGTTGTTAGCTCACTTATTTCACTCTGTTATTAGTTGAAAGTTATCGCACTAATAATCAGTATGACAGTTGTTGAACGAGATAATTTAAGTGGTTGTACGCTGAAAGAAAAGCTGGACTTCTACTATCGTGTTGGTATGTAACTCTCATTTTGGCCTCGTGATAGTCAATTTAGTCAACTTGAATCTGTAGTATATTAGTCTAGATTTCATTTTATGCTAGTTAGTTTAGTTCGTCCTCACTTTATATACTTCACTTTGAGCTGGTGGGTAATGTTTTTAGTCATTACCGTTAGTATGATTTATTAGTTTAATATTTAATATCATAAGTGATACAACTAACCAGAAGAATGGGCCTTTTGTAACAAAATGACACACTCATATCTGAATTATTAACCGGAAAACAACACGAATAAGTGTTAAGAACGATCAAACGATATCTTCTTTATAGGTCTCTCACTATCCAATGAATTAAGTTTTAACTGCTAAACCTGATATTATCCCGTCATATCATTTTTGTCTTGCAGATTTGGGCTTTACAGTTGCTGATTTGCACACCTGTTTGTATTTTATTTTGTATTTATGCAAGCTGTTCAAATGAACTCCACTGGTTTTTGTTTGGATAGGTGTTTTAGTGTAATTAGCGGCAATTTACATCACTTATTTTTTAAAGTTAGATGCATATCCGTTCTTATCAAATACACCATATTTAGTGCATAAAATGAAATTTCTATTATAGCATGCTCATATCTAACTTAGTAGATACCAGCACACTGCAAGTTGTACAGGGTTATTTACCTCTAACAATATCTGTTTAGGAATGCTTTCTATGTGTTCGATTGTCTTTTACTTTTGGTCATTTTCGCTGCAACTGATTATACATTGGCATAGAGACGAAATTAACATGATCAGTACTAAAGTAGTAGAATCAATTGTGCCAGCGGTAGTAAAAAGGATCAGGGATACAAAATATGGTTTGAGAACGAATTTGAAAATTATAAGATTTAAAATGATAACAAAACTTAGGACGTAATGGAAAACAGAGTAAATGAATCCACACAATTGAAACTGATTTTAAGCCACACCTTTTAAAGATTATATAATCGAGCAAACCTCAACCAGATATTTTGGACCCACCATCTTGATTCAATCTGTCAGTCAGTGATTTTGCGGACTGATAACTGGTTTTGGTTTGGCTACTTATGATTTCCCTCCTACGCCAACCAACATTACTCGTCTAAATACGGGGCGGTTGGTCATTTGTAATACAAATCACCGCCACCTCAGCTGAGGGTTCACAGTTTTATAAATCAATCTAGTATCTTTGCTTAATACCTTGAATTTAACCTCGAAATTATTTATTTAATGCTTCCAATATACTTGAGCAATGTTTTGAAGACACTTATGATCAAATAATAATAACATGTGAACGTCCTGTACTTCTAAAGAACGCGTTCCACAGTCATACAGTAAAGCAGAACAAACCACTACGTAGAGGACATATCGCCTATGATGCAAGTGACAGGAGTCGGCGAAAACCAGTCGAATTTTCCATATTTTAGACAAAATTGGTTGTTTTAGATGCCTCAGAAATTCAATTCTTTTCTGTTTGTCGCAGCCCTTATTAGGAGATTCTCCCTTAACTTTTAAAGAGGTGTTCGTATCTTCTCACCAATTCTAATTTTCTCTATTAATCACACATCTCAAACATTTTTTTTATCATCTCGTACTAGGAAAGTCATCAAATGTTAACTCCAGGGTTTTGTAATTTCATGGTAGTTCAAAAGTTCTTTTATACAACATTCGAGGTTTATTTTACTCTCAAATTTATTGAATATTTTCTCGTTCCTTTTTCTGTTGGTAGTAAAAAATCAAATTCTTCGCTTTCAACATCCTATCAGTGGATTATTTCCTCTTATGCCTATGAACACTAAATGTAGATATAGTCATGTACGAGATTCTGTGTACTGTGCCACAGTTGTATGGGCTCTACACCAGTGTTTCGCGTGAGTGGATTTTTAACAAAATCTACTTTAAAAACGTTTTACAATAAATTACTTAATTTTTGAATAAAACGATTGATCAAAATACTATGAAGTGATTATTTTTATATAAGTCTCTTGGAATTTTGATATTTGTCGTGTTTTATTAAAACAACACTCAGATTTGCTATCAGCATTTTGCATTTAATGTATAGTACATTGAAAATTTAGCAGTGCTGCAAAAAACTACATTAGTGTTTGAGCATCAACACTGCCTGTTTTCGGATTTCACCTATTGTACCAAAGTTAGTTCAATCTAGTTACTTCACTTGTTACTTGTAGAAAACATCATTACTGTATTTAGAAAGATCGAAATTCAGAAAGTGGTTTAGATCGAATGAATAGTGTAGTGTGGTCTATTAGGTAAAGTTATTATTGTTTATTTTTAAACCTAGTCACTACTTTAAAACGTCTGTTTTATCAGCATGAATCTTCCACTTCGCAAATACTATTTTTTCCGAGTCAGTTCAAATGATAATCGAATTGGTTATATCTTTTGAATGCTCATAACTCCCATTCATTTTGAAAGGTGTTTTTTACTATTTGAAATTGTTCCAAAAATTACTAAGATTCGGTGAGACATTAATTGTTTTTTCATAATTTCCTCAATAATTTCCAAATTGCATGAATATTTAAGAAATAGACCTGTTAAGTTTTGACTTTCTAATGTCTAGTTTAATACGTTACTGATAATTTATATATATAATAAACTATTTTTTCATAGACGGATCAATGATGATGAAGGACGTCATTATGAACTTGGTCAAAGTGCTGTCAAGTGTATGCGTAGCATTTTAATGGGTTGGATGCAACAATCTGCGCGGGTATGTATCATTATCATTACTGTTATCATTATTGCGTAAGATGTATTTAATTTTTAATATTCAGTTTTTCGTTTTTAAATGTTTTTTGTCCTAATGTGATTCATTTAAAATAAAGTAATGGTATACCAATATGTTAATGTGAGAAAGATGATTCAATTTTTTATGGAGTTTCCTTATAATAACTTCTAGAAGTAATAAAATTAGTAATTAGCTAATATTACTAACTAGTTTTTCAAGAGAGCACGCAAACTAGTCAGTCAGTGATAACCAACGTAGAACCTGCTACTAATATGAGTTAGCCCAAGTTATCTTACCACACTAACACGAGATGAAATTAGCGTAATGAATGGCAAGTGATTTGAAATAATGTCATGGAAATCATAATGAGGATTAGATATTGAGGACATAGTGGTGAATACATCTGCACTATTGTGCCTGATTCCGACTCACTCAGCGTCTCCAATTAGCACGAACTGTTTTGATTAAAAGATAGATATTCTTAGTGTTTTGTCAAATCATTTCTCGATTAATCGTAAGTAAAAATGAATTTTTTTGCAGAGTTTTTAAATAAGGTTTTCAAGTGATTTAAACTTAACAAAGTTATTTGAATATATTACCTCCTTGATTTTCTCCGTAATCCCTACTTTAAAATATGATCTCATTCAATTTGTTATTTGCAGTTGGAATACTTCAAAAGAGTTCAAAACTTGGATACTTGTCTGCACTCACGTCTTGATTATGAAACCGGTGAACCTATTTATGATGATCATTATAAAAACTTACAAATGGACTGCATTGGTCTGTATGTAATTCAGCTGGTTCAAATGATTCATTCTGGACTTCAGGTTTGTTGATTTTGATAAAAAATTGTCCTTATGGTCGAATTATTATGCAGACTGATTCAGTCAAATGAAGACCTTGTGATGGTGTGCTGTCATTCACTATACCTTGAATTTTATTCATCACAGAAAATGAAATAGTAATTAATAACCACCAACCAACTGGCTACATAAATAAAGTGAATGGATTTATGTGATAACTAACACTTTTCTGATACATCACTGACTCTCCACTAAATAAGCATGTTTTAATCTATAAAACGTGTAGGTTTTTTCAGTATTTTCATTCGATAGGGTTGTGTTGTTTGGATACATTGGACTAACCAACTGACGGTCATTGAAAAATTTATTCTCAAAAAATGTAAACTTGAGTTTCCAAAATATGGTCTGAGTTGGTGGGTGATCCTCGAGGATGCCCTAGTTTTGTCCGTACACAGAGTAATGTTTGTATAGTTAAAAACTTATCAGATTTTCCAACAGATGTCGATGAATACTGATTGTAAATATGTATATTCACTGCAACATATGCTCGACCTAAATCCTGTTCCTATTAGCCATGAGAGATGGAAATGTTAAATTGTCAGAGGTTTTGGAATTCAAGTAATTGACTTTACACTATATTTTACTTAGATTTCCTCTAACAACATTCCTTACGTTTTATGTTTCTGTGATACTGCATGGTTCATGTTAATAATTACATTGAAGATTTTTGCTAACCACAGAAATAAACAAGATCTTAGTTGAAAAGTAGGTCGTTTATCCACTGTCTGGCAAATGTGATCTCGGGGCATGAATTCATTTCATTCAAGAAGTTCCTCGTACTAAATCTTCATAGTTTATAACTTCTACTTTCTTTGAGTCAAGACCTTCATGAGCAGAGTTCTCAACCCTTGTCTCGACATTATCTTTACCGCGGCTTTATTGACTGTTGTCTACACCTGTATCCACGAAAATCGAAATTTAGAGAGCAATATGAGTGTATGACATCATGTTTAATTTCTTCATATTATATGTTTCTTTCAGATTGTTTACACAAAAGATGAAGTAGCATTTGTACAAAATCTTGTGTTCTATTTGGAAAGAGCCTATCGTATCCCAGATTATGGAATGTGGGAACGTGGAACAAAGCAAAATCGTAATATAACTGAATTACATGCAAGGTAAGTTTATATATATATACATAAGTTATTTCTGGAAGTTACCATTCCTTTAGTCTTCGGATATAGCAGTGTTGTATAAAGTTAAAATAATATGTTAGTTTAGTCATCCTGATACATTTTTTTTCTTCCAACCAGAAGTGCACTCTGACTTAGAGAATAGTTAAACAAGTGCTATATTTACTTCATCCATTTCATTCGATCCAAATTCGCGACGAGATCAAATGAACTATTATCCATTCTGAAAACTAAATTCAACTCCGGTACATTTCCCAGAGACTTTAAACCACATGATAGCAGATACTAATCAAGTTTTCATCATTTTTACAAAGGTTCTGTTGACCAGCACTCTGCTAGAGTGAATAAAAATCCTATGTAAATGAACATAGCTTGGTTTTAAAGAATCATTTTCTAACTGAAAGTTCATATAATAAATCTGGTTTTTTATTGGCTTTTTCAAACGACCACTTTATAATATTTTCATTTGACAGAATATATCATGTATCGAGTGTAAATGATTGGCAAACTATGGTTAACAAACAATTTGAAGTGTAGTATAGTATACCAAACTATATTTTATGTTACTTATGCAATGGCTATTTCGTAAATTGTTGATAATATTCTTTTTTTTTCATTTGTATAGAATTGTGTTCCATCTGGATTATGCTTTATTTATTATGTAATAAGTTATGGATGAACTGTGTATTATTATTGATTTTGAAATTTTCATAATCTTATTTCCTAATTAGCTCTATTTGTATGGCGAAAGCTGCATTGGAATCGGTTGCTGGATTCAATATTTATGGTTATGAAGGTGGACATTCTTCTATCCTTTTTATGGATGCTGACGCCCACAGTCGTAATAGAATAATTATGACAAATTTGTTACCTAGAGAATCTGCATCAAAGGTAAATTATGTTCCTTTAACTAGTACGATTTCATACTCAATGTGTGAATATCATAAGTTATGAAAAGGGAGTCGAATCAAAATATTTTGAGTTAGGAATAATATCATTTCCTTTAATTGGTTCTTATCAACCACATAAGATCTTAAATGTCTCTTCTTGATGGTCTGGGATTTTCAAATCCCCAGTTTCATTTGGAATCTGTCAACCATACCGTGTAATATGGCCATTAATTGAAATGACATAGATCTTAGTTTGGCGTATTTATTGTTGAACACTGATTGAAGATCAGAACCTATCACTTCTCAGGCCGTACAATACTGGACGAAGAATATTTGAATTTCAGGCAGAAGCAAAAAAGAACTTGGATTTCTTCGAGATTTCAGGGATATCTGTCTGATAAGCACTGATAGCCATAAAAACTAACCATGGGTGTTGTGCTCCATAATCTAAAGCTATTCAGCACACTCACTAACATCCCTGAAGGAAAATAAAACAGACTGTATCAAACTAAAATAAAGCCACACTCTGCTCCATACATATGTAATATGATGGTTCGATTAACTGACGAAATACTGGAATGATTGAGATAGCCAAACCAATAAGCTACCTACTTGACCGGTTCCTACACATCAGCCGCATTGTCAGGAGAGAACGAAACAACGGGTTAGCTGGTTGAATAAATATTAGCGAAATAAAACGGACATTTACATGCCACGTATAAGGCTAAGATGTTTTGACTAAGCTATTGATCGGAAAAATGATTAACCAATGGTGGAAATAATGATCACAAACGAAGTGGTTACACTTTAATTTTATCCCTCATACCGGTTCGTTGTTATTCTTTTTGTAACTGTTGTGTTCCATGTTCTAGGGTACTGACGCTTCACTTATTCCTTCATTGTGTTGGCCAGCTTATGGTACATGTTCAACTAGTACACGATTGCCAGCTCTGGAACGCTGTTTAGAACGTTTAAAAGGTGTTTACGGCTTCAAACGGTTTACCCGAGATGGTTATGCTACTGTTTTAGACACAAATAGCGAATATCAACCGGGAGAATTGATGGTATGCTGTAGTTAGTTATATCTTGGCCATTTGTTCTCTGGTAACCAGTGAATTAAAAGTGTTTTTTTGTTTTCGTCTGATAAACGTGCTAGTTTAAAACTGTGTTCGACTGAAGTTTGGTATATAGAGGAATAGATTTAGACTCCCTGGTAGAATCTTCCCCTGAGATAGTGGTTTCATCCTCTTTTGAGGTCGTCGGTGGGCTTGGCTAAAGAATTCCGGACTAGGACGAAACATTTTCTTCTAGTGCTCTTATGTTTTGAATAGTGCTATGCTTTGGTTTGTAGGTGGATAGAGGTAGTCAACAGGAAATTCTTGTCCTAGGTTTCGTGCTTATTGGCACTCGTCAGCAGGGCAAGTATTTTATCTTTTTATTTTCGGTAATTTATTAAAATTCCTAGTTGTCACGCTTAATTACCTGCTAACTTACTTACTTACGCCTGTTACCCCTCATGGAAGAGCATAGGCTGCTCAACAGCATTCTCCATCCAACCCTATCCTGGGTAATCGTTTCCAGTTGCTATTTATCCTTTTCATACCGACGTAGTGTGTTCTTTGGTTTTCGTCTTTTCCGTTTCCGTTCAGGATTCCAAGTTAGCGTTTGCCTCATGGCTATTTGATTGTTTATATCAGATTATTTTGAAATGGTTTAAATTCATTGATATATATTATTCTTGAGGTATATACTGGCTGATTATTAAAGTTTATTAATTACTCATACTTATGTGAATGAATGATATTTTTCTTCGTCATTTTAAATAACTTAATTATTTCTCGTTATCTGTCTGTAGAAATTTGTTGGAATCGAAAGTGAATGGCCAATGTTTTTTGCATACATGATTATCGAAAGTAAGTTGAGTGTCAGTCACTCCCCTTTCAACTACATCATAAAATTGTGGTATTTGTTACTCAGATAAAGTGTAGAGTAATTTTGTGACTTATATTTATTGAGTGTTTACTGCCCTCAATTTATTTTATTAACTGTAAATTAATAATCAAAGTACAGATTTGCTTATTCAGTTTTGAGTCATACTTTTGTGTGCAACGTTTAATGATACTAATCTACTGTCCATATTGATATGGTTGAAGCTTGTGAACTAATGGCTGAAAGTTTAGTGCTGTTTAACTGCTACTCTACAGCTCCACATTCTGGATACGTATGAAAGTAATCTTATGGATATTCTCCTATCTTCACTGATTGTGAATCTTTTAACACAGTATGCACGCTATATAAATTAATGATTGGAACCGTATAAAAATTTCTCACTCATTCCTAAATCTACCAATCAGAACACCAAAAAGTCAACCAAGCACCTCATTATTTTCATTAAGATCATGAACCCATCAATGTTAGACCATCATTGAAATCCTAGACTCGCTGGACGACCGCTTCGTCCTAGTATGGGACTCCTTGGCAGTGTGCACCCACGATCCCGTTCATAGGAGTCGAACCCCAAGACCTTCGGTCTTGCGCGCGAACGCTGACCTTTTAAACCACTGATTTGGCATCCAACGGGTTAATATCTAACTTCAACCAATCCACGATATTGTACGGCCTATTTAATATTATCCTGCATTAATAAGACTAAAACTCATGATTATATACGTGATGATTTGATGATTATATTAAGCATTCAATTATTTGAATACATTTCGAAATCGGAACATTTAAATAATTGAACAGTTTGTTGTTTAGTTGTTTCAAATTCCAGTCTAACTTGCCAGTCATCTATACAATGTCAGGTTATACCTGAGAGAGGCTATAGTTTTTTATTATCTTTATAGACTTTATGCTAACACTCACAATTCAGCTCTCATATTAGTACACTCGTATAGATTTGTATAATTTTTTTCTTTATGGTTTAATTCCAAATGTTAAAATTCATTGCATTCAAAGTTCTAGTCAAAAAATGACCATGTTAACTGGTATAGTGAGTCAATCAGAAGTGACCTAACGTGAAGATCACCCATACATCTTCAAAAATGACCTAAAAGACTAATTCATATCACTGACTAGAAGTGGGTTCATTTTCTAAGGGGTTGGAATGTATCTATTTAAATGAGTATTTGTGCATATTACTCAGTAGCCCAATCAACTTTCTTTTCGACCATTGTCTTCTTGCTCAAGTAGTCAGTTCGGTGGTAGTGGGGGCTTTGACGCATAGCATGTTATGTATCAATATCAGATCTCGGACATCACCCATCATAATATTAACAGCATCACAGTCACTATCCGTGTTTCATTGTATCTAAATCTTATTTTATTCGGCAGTTTAAAAATCCCCATAGAATTTCCAAATATTCTTCATATTTTATTACATTTCAAGGAATATCATTTAACGCACGGCGATTTTTGTATTTCTTTATTTAATTTTTTTACCCCATTAAAAAAATTTTTCATCCCATTTTTCATTTTTTCTCATTCCGTTTCGTCCAATTAAATGGCTAGTTTTAAGTTCGTTATAATTGGTTATTTATTTCTCAAAATTGAAATAAAATGTGAGTACTTGTCGACTGAACACCTTTTCTTCAAAATTACGGACGATAATAACGTACAAAGTACAAGCTCTGTCGTTTCTCACTTTACGACGTACTGCCATTATGCGGTGTGAGATTCTCATTTTCATAGAGATCAGAAGCCGTATATTAAATTTGTATGTTGTAGAAATGGCTGAAGAACACCTAGCGGATCCTCACAGCCGATTAGACGAAGGAGGTAATTTCACTAGTGTTATTATATTGTTCTTGAAGGACTGCAATGAACACTTAATGTCCGGCTTTCATCTTTTATAAGTTTATTGAAGGTTTCTAACGTCGATTTGGATGCCACGTTAAGCAATGACGAAGAAGAAATTGTTTCTATAACCTCAGAAGAATCCAGTAACCAAAACAACGACACTGATGAAGAAGCTCACGACATCAAACTTTGGGACACATGCAATCTTGCTCAGCCGACATGTGAAACTGGTGACGGAAACACTTGGATTTCTTGTCTCTACAATGCAATGCTTCTTTTTTGTGTGCTTACGACCCACTACCACAATTCCATAGATCCCACTGTCCCATGTGCGGCTCTATTACGGAGTCGTAGTCACGTTATTGTTCAAGAAAATATGAACTGTTTAGAGACCGAGTAAAGGCCCTTCTTAGGGCCACCCACAATTTGATTTAAATTCTTTTGTTTCAATTCGTTAAAGAATGACCAAAGGATTTTTTAAATCTCTTTTCTAATGAAGTTGTTTAACTGTTCCATCTGATAACTCCTATCTTGCATACAACAAGTTTTTTTTAAACTTAAATCGTTTACTGAAAATTAGTAAGAATAAGTTTAAGTCATCACTAACTATAAGCCCGAAATTATGTACTAAGATCATCTCACTGGTACAACAACATTATTTCCATGGGAAAGGTCAAGTGATGAATTAGAATCGCTCATGTATTAGTAATACTTTTTTCTGATCTATAAAATGTCTATCATCTAATGTACAGTAATCTATCTAACAATAGTACATGCAAAATTTAATAAGAATATTTCAATACAGTGAAAATTCTCATATTGACGTGTGGTAAATAAATGTAGGCACAGTGATCTAGTGGTTAAGCGCTCGCGCGAGAGACTGACAGATCCTGGGTTCGAATCCCGCGAGGCGGGGTCGTGGATGCGCACTACTGAGGAGTCCCACAATAGGACGAAACGGCCGTCCAGTGCTTACAGGTTTTTCATGGTGGTCTAGCTTCAATTGACTCATGATCTCAACTACTGAGATTTTATTTATTATATTGACATTAAACGTTGGCATAGCTAAAGGTTAATTGATACAGTTGACCTTATTCGCATTCAGCTTTATAATCGAACTAAAAATTTATTTTGTCAGATGTAAGTCTGTTAATTTGCACTTAAACAATATTTCTAATGCTTGTCAAAAATGGTTGTTCTTGTAACGTTCAGCTATTTCGTGTTTGACATTAAAAAATAAATACTCACATATAACGAAAATGTACATACAATTTTTTAGTGTTTGTCGTTTAATAAAGAAAACTGATGATTGGAAAAATGATTCCAGACTTTCTAAATAAGTAACGTATGCTATCTTATTTACAAAAGGCATCAAAACATTAAGATAATGATTTGGTCAGACTGCACACCTACAAAACGTCTTCTGTTGACGTAAAGTGAAAAAAACCTTACGCGCACTTCCCAAGCACAATAACCGATTCACACTACTGCGTACACAGAGAAGTATGTTTTTGTCATAATTATAAACTACTCAACCACATAAAATAAACAATGTACAGTTAAAAACAATTTATACTTTTAATGGACTAGCAAAATAACGCAATTACAATCCTGCATTTATTTACGATATCATTTTTAAGGCTAAACTAAACAACTCTTTTGTATTAAGAATTACTGTTTGCAAAATAACCAAATCATAAATATTATTTGCTACCTTCTCTGAAATTATTATTAATTTAAGAAAGCGTAATAATTGCTTCATTTACCGATCCTTAACGGTTAGCGTGAATAATACATGCCAGTTTTCACCAAACATTATTGGTTTTCATTGGTATACTTTTCTAATTCTGATTAGATTGTTTAAATGGTGATCGAGAGAAAGCAATAGAATATGATCAATTAATGCAACCACTTCTTGTTCATCCTATATCGGAATCATGTAAGTAGTTAGTTCGATGAATGATAAATGTTAAAAATTAACTTCTGGAATTATGACACTAATGAAGATCTGAACTAGTGAAAATAAAATGTGTTGTAATTCCTCGATAAATTTGATAAAATATTCATTATTACTGATATAACTAATGGGGTCGATCTTTAACTTTCAACTCAAACGTAGAACCACGGAACATCTGACAAAGTATATGAATGTAATGTTAACGAACTGGAGTTGTCAATCATTTATGAAATATGAAATAAAAATAGTATGATTTATAAGGGATCTGTCAGTTAATAAATAAATAGTGATAACAATGAAAGTTATAAGCTAGCCAGTGATTATTCATGTAAACCTGTAGCAAAATGTTTGAACTAGTGAACACTATCAAAAGTAGCTTTAGTTAAATTTGAGTGTAAACGTATGTGTGTCTGATTTGCATGATTTAGATTTCCGTCACTTCGAACATCTTATACTCAAGTTATAAATGAGCATTAAATTCGCAGCTTGTTCATCAAGTTTAAGAAATGTTTATTCGAAATTCCGAAATTACTATCGTTCAGATGTATAATTGATAACTTCATGAAAAGACTACATTTATTAATGTGCATGGTATGTAAGAATATGTTACTTTCTAACTGTCTTGCATATCTTCGTGCGAAACTATTATTCAAATCTGTTTTATAAAGTAATCGATGCTAAATAATGACACAGACCCATGGTCTTTGTGAGGATATTTTATGTGGAATCTGTTTGTCCGGTAATCACGTTAGTGCTAACTCACTACATTAAGCATACATATCTCCGATTTTGTATGTATCTTTATTGTTGGTTGTGATTGAACTTTCTCTACAGATGTTAACCGTACTAATAAGTCATTAGGTTATTTGTATCCAAAGTTAGTCATACACGACCGATGAAATTTGTCAGTTTTATATTCTCATAAATCTATGCAAGTTAAAGGAACATTTCGTATAGTGTTTTGATGTCTGTCATTTCACAGAAATGCTTTTCAGGATTAATCAATAGAAATTTATTTTGATGTAGCTTGACTGTTGTATACTTTCAAATTCAAACCGAATAAGCGATGCTATACGGAAAAAGGTTCAGGATAGGTTACCTACAATGTGCTTTCCAATTTGTGTAGATTAATGTAACTACTGTTTAGCTAGTTACAAGGTTTGTAATCAAGAGATCTTATCCTTACACTCTTGTTAACCAAGTCTATTAAGCGACATTCTTACTCACGTGATAATTTGTGAGCACTGTATCAAGATACACAGTTTGTTTTAATTTTGTATTGTGTTGAATAATCTACTGGAAGGAGCAAGCTTACACTTAATATACATGTATATTTTAAGAACTCTATTTTTTCTGACATAGATCCCTGGCTTCCAAAGTTTTATTTTGTTCCTACTGAAGAATTGGAAAAAGAGCGTCGTTGTCGTGGTTCGGCAATTCGTAAAAGCAGTTTCCGTTTAGTCGGTGAATCTCGTTTTCTTTGGGGGCAATCAATCTATATTATATCTCAGTTACTTAGTAGGTTGGATTTCTCTTCTTTCTGAATAATTTGTAGATTACAACAAAAATTGTGATGTAAAGTTTAATTGTTTTATTTTGGATGCTAAATAATTCCTAATGTTCTGACTGCTTGAAATGGACAAAAAATTACTTGAATAGATGAAGATAGAGGAACTGGTAGTTTTTCTCATGAAACTGATCTTTCGATCTCGGTTGGGTGGATGATAGAAGACAGAACTGTACTGAGCAACTAATTAAGTATATCTGAATATATATTAGGAAATTTGGAGGTTTTTATTTCTTTAAATATAATATTGTTTATTTTTTTATTCAATGGTAAAAAGTAAATAGCCAAGACTGAAAATGAAAATTAAGAAACAATTGGTGACTTTGTGTTCATCGTAACACTTAAGTATTACATAAATTTAGTCACAAATATTAAAGATAAGAAATGAAAGTAACAGCTTTTGGGTTTAATTTATGGTCTTAGTATCACAGCTTGTACAGTTGCTGTTTTCCTCTCTCAGAATTTGATTGAATATCAGTTTGATTAACTCCTCCTGTAGCTCTTCTGAGGCTACTGCCAGTCTCAAGCCCGGGTGAAGGAAAAGGGCTTGTCATAGGGTCAGAAACCCCATCCCGTAGAAAATATTTTGCTAAAACAACGCTAACCAGAATAAACAAATTAAACCGTCTAACCTCTCCACTGGAAGTTGAAGGATCTTCATTCAGAAGAATTATGACGCCTCACACTGAAAGCCGAGATTGTTTAGGAGGCACGAGAGCGATATTCCTTCAAACAACCAGAGCAACAATTAATATAGGTACGTGGAATGTCTGGACAATTTAGGGGACCAGGAAGACCGATAAAATAGCTGCGAAAATGAGGAGGTACAACTTGGTGATGCTCGGAACCAGAGAAACCCATTGAACCCAAGCTGAACGGAAAATGGATAGATTTGGAAGAGATGCTGTTGTACTCTGGTCACGAAGAGGAAAGTGCTCCACACGCTCAGGGAGTTGCTCTGATGCTGTCCAAATAAGTAAGTAAAGCACTTATAGGATGGAAATCTTACGGATCCAGAATCATAAAGGATGGAATCACGATGAATGTTATCCAATGTTATGCTGCAAGAAGCATCATCATAAGGAATGGATTTTCATCGACACCCTGGACAAGACTCAAGAAAGGAAGAAGACAGTAATTAGCAACTGCCGAAGAAGAATAGAGAACGTCAACGCACAAGCAAACAAGCGAGTGAAGAGGAGCATTAGAGCCGACAGGCGGAAATACGTGGAAGAACTAGCAACGACGGCGGTAAAAGCTGCAAGAGAAGGAAATACGAGACAGCTATATGACACAACGAAGAAACTAACAGGGAAATATAGTAAACCAGAGAGACCAGTCAAGGACAAAGAAGGCTAAACAATTATTGAGATTCAAGAACAGAGGAACAGATGGGCAGAACACTTCGAGGAACTCTTGAATAGACCAGCTTCATTGAATACACCGGACATAGAAGCAACACCTACAGACTTTCCTATGGATGTCACTCCACCAACGACGGAAGAAATCAGGACAGCCATCAGACAAATCAAGAGCGGTAAAGCAGCAGGACTTGGCAATATACCAGCCGAAGCACTGAAGTCAAACGTGGAAGCAGCTGCAAACATGCCCCACGTTTGATTCAAGAAGATTTGAGAGGAAGAACAAGTGACGACAGACTAGAAAGAAGAATAGCTCATCAGGATACCAAGAGATCTAAGCAAATGTGAGAATTGCAGAGACATCAAACTACTATCAGTATCAGGAACCGTTTTGAACAGAGTATTGTTGAACTGGATGAGAGATTAAGTAGACGCTCGATGTCGAGATCATTAGTCTGAACTCCGTAAGGATCGGTCGTGCACAGACCAAATTGCGACATTACGGATCATCGTCGAACAATCAGTTGAGTGAAACTCGTCATTGTAAATCAACTTCATTGATTATGAAAAGGCATTTGACAGTGTAGATAGGAGGACATTATGGAAACTTCTTCGACACTACGGAGTTCCTGAGAAGATTGTCAACATTATCCGGAACTCATACGACGGACTACAGTGCAAGGTTGTGCATGGAGGACAGCTGACAGACGCAATCCAAGTAAGGACCGGAATCAGTCAAGGTTGTTTACTCTCCCCCTTCCTCTTTCTTCTAGTGGTTGACTGGATTATGAAGACCTCGACATCTGAGGGAAAGCTCGGAGTACAATGGACAGCTCAGAACCAATTAGACGATTTGAACTTTGCAGATGATCTGGTCCTTCTATCTCATAGACACCAACAAATGGAGATGAATGAAACTAATGTAGTAGCAGACCCTGCATCACTAGGTGTCAACATACACAAGGAAAGAACCAAGATCTTCAAATAAAACACGAAGAACACCAACCCAATCTCACTTGATAGAGAAACTCTGGGAGAGTTGGGAAGTTCCACGTATCTGAGTAGCATCACAGATGGACGTAGAGGATCTAATGCAGAAGTAAAGACGAGGATTAGCAAATCTAGGGCCGGAGTCCTATAATTGAAGAACATATAGGACTCAAAACAACTATAAAGCAACATCAAAATCAGAATCTTCTATACGAACGTCGAGACAGTTCTACTGTACGGAGAGGAAACGTAGAGAACTACTACAACTATTATCAGAAGGTGCAAGTATTTATAAACAATGGTCTATGTAAAATACTGAATGTCCGTTGACCGGATACCATCATCAACCTGCTGTGTAAAAGAACAAAACAGGTTCGACCTGAAGAATGAATTGCGAAACAACACTGGGGGATAGGACATACATTGTGGAAATCACCACACTGCATCAAGAGACAAGCACTAACTTGGAATCTTGAAAAGGAGATGGAAAAGAGGAAGGCGAAGGAACACACTGTATCGAAAATTTGAAGCACCCATGAATAGGATGAACAGCAACTGGAAAGGTTTTCCCAGGACAGAATTCGACAGAGAATGTTGGTGGTCGGCCTATGCTCCTCGAAGAGGGGTAACAGGTGTACGTAGTGAATTAAGTAATTGGTTTGATTAGTTTGTTTACAAGTGTTGCGGAAGCGTTTGTTCCCCACGTTTTGTTCTAAATCCTATTTTAAGCGAGGAAACAAATATGAGAGTGATCATGTTCAACTGAAAATGGTACTGATGATTCATATGCCCAAGTAAAAACGGCAGTCTCAGATTTTGGTATACAACTTTGTGAAGACAGTTCTATCACGAATGCTTCTCTACATTACTGAAGGTCAGATATTACAGCAGTTTTATCACCATTAATTACATAGTTGCGTTGTGTTCTTTTTATAGATTGACAATTTATTAAACAACAAATTGGGAACCATAAGCTGTTATTTTATTTCTCCATTTTCTTATTTTATTACTTAACAAGTTACAAGATGTTCCCAATAAATATGTCTTTTTTTATTCATAGTTTCTGGATGTCTTCTACCAAGTGATTTGGATCCAATCGGTCGAAGACCATCACATCGTTTTTCTGGAATGTCATCTACATTAGGTAACGAACTTTTATTTTCTGTAAGTTTGTGATCCATTTCCTTCAAAATTCTTTTATTTCCTTATTCACAACATATTTATTTAGTTAGTAGACTGCATTATAAATGCATTTCATAGTTGTAAAGTTAGGAAATAATTTTAGTTTCTTGTTTTGCCGTTTACACTTCAAAATTAATTTTTAAAAGGTCCATTTTAAGTTACTAGCTGGGTATTCAGCTAAAAATGTACTATACCACAAATTACTAATACATGTTCAGACAAAGTAAGCGTGAAAAGCAAGTAAAATTTAACTAGGATGGGTATTGACAAGATGCCTTTACGATTAAAGCATTCGACTTTCAACCGAATAGATTGGAGGGTCGAATGGCATTTTATTGACCTTAATTTTACCACTTGGGTAATGTCTATAATAGCTTTCGTACAACCAGTGTACATAAATACTGTGTTATGTTAATGCGGAATTCACGAATGAAATTAATTTACGTTGGTTAAATTAAGTAGGGGTTTTTCATAATTTCTAATAATGTGTAATTTATATCTTATTAACAAACTATCTTCCTAACTAATATTATCGTTTAAAGATAAAGACTAGAGTAACTACCGTGAATGTAAATTAGTAGTCTTAACGAATAAAGACTGTTTTTGTTTAGTAGCTTATCCAGGTTGACCTTACCTATACTATCAACGCTTTGATATTAGATGTTCTGGAATTTCGATGGTTTTCCATCTCAACATATCTTCAACTACGTTGAATATGTTCTTGAAATCATATCACATTAATATAAAAACGCACAAATGTCAAGTTGACAGATCAATATATTGCTCATATCACAGGGAATTTCAGTTCATGACCACTGATCGCGCTCTTAGCACACATACACACATCTAAATTGTAGTATTTGTCTGCTTATCTGACTAAATACTTATGTTTAAAATAGTGAAAAGCTGAGAAGTATTTTAACCATTTAATAAAACAAACACTTTAAGTAGATTTATCCTTTGAATTTGTTTTTCATATATTTTTTGGAAAATACATGTATATCACTGACTTAAATCTTGTGTATTTTCCACAATGCATGATATAAGTAAACACCGTAAGACCAGATGGTAATAAGTGAACATTGCAAACTAAATAACAACGAAATATGTTAATGAACAGTAGAATAAATTACTTTTGCTGTTGTTGTGGTTTTAATTCCTTCTTAAAAAATTATTTCTATCTCAGGGGAAATCGATGAATGTGACAATTCAAGTAGTTCTTATCTCTGAATCTGTTCGTTTACAACAAGTTTTAGCAACTTATGGTATTATCACTCAAACACCTGTACAAGTTGAACCTATTCAAGTGAGTTGGCTAAAATTTTGTTTTATTCTTGTAGTTAATTTGTTTTACCTTTACGAATTCTTGTATGTTTTATCAATCACTTCTTATTTTTGGTTCGAATTACTAAAGGTTTTGGTGAGACTATAATTTATGGACAATACTTGAGCAATACTTAAGTGATCTTGAGAATATCCACCTACTTACCAGGGTAAATGAGCGTTATAAATTCATGTAAGGAATAAGGGTTAGGATTTACAGTTGAAAGTTAGGGTTAGGGTTTTCATCACGTACTAACATCAGTTATAATGCCAAAATGGTATTTGGCCATATGGATGAATAAATATCTCACCAGAATCCAAGACCTGCTATCTTGAATCTAACTGATTCGTCCGTAATTTATAATTTTGCATAGGTTTTATTTGAAATTAGGTTTACTCAGTGTTTTTTTTTATCAAACTGAATACTATTTTATTTTCTCTTCTATAAACTTGCACTAATTTCATGAAATATTCTTCAGGATTAAATAAATAAACTCAGTCAATCCCTAATCACAGATCAGTGGTACTGGCGTATTGGTATGGTTTATTTTATTTAGTCAGAGGGATAGAAGTTGTTGTTCTATCCTTCATAGAAGTAGATCACTCAGACAATATTTCTTTTAAACATTATATTCACACGACTTCATTATTATTATCTTAATTAACATGACTTATTTTTCCTGTTATTCATTTTTCCATGTGATTTATTTTATTAGCTTTATTATAACCTTACATCTTACGGTTGGTTTTTCTCCTTTTTTTTCGAATAGTCTCTCAACTTTTCAAATTACTCCAGATTTATTAAGCTGTAACAATATCTAATTCACAGATTATGATGTGCGTTATTGTGGTCACCAACATAATATTTGTGGATTTATAATTTTAGAGTCACGTTGTGAATATTCTTTAAGGTTCTTTTAACTTTTAAATTAGATTTATTTCATTGACGATATAGTTAAAGCTATTAGCCTTTGATACAGAAAATATAATTTTTCTCAATTTATTCATTTCTTAATTCGACTTAATTTTTTCAAAATTGATATTCATTTCATAAGATGTTTCGATTTAGCCTTGGAATATTTTATTATTTTACTAATGCCTGGTGATACAATGTGTATTTTATAATCTATGTAAAAGTGTATAAGGAAAAAGGAGTCTAGTCTTGTTGGAAGTAACTTTGAGATCCAATCAAATAGTTGATTTCATTTTATGATTATTCATCTAATGTAGTTTCTGCATATGGACCCATATCTCTCTCTCTCTCTCTCTCGATTTATAGATTTGGTCTCCAGATCAGCTTGTTCGTGTTGGCAAATTTATGGGTTGCAGTGAACGTCTAGGTCTATCTGGTCGTCCTCCTCGACCTTATGGACAATTAGGTACCAGTAAATTTTATAGGCAAGTTATCGTTTTGTCCAAGATCGTGTTTTGGCAAATGATTGTAATTATCATTTAATGAAGAGCCAAATACCTTGATATCTTGATACGGGTTAGTAGTCCATACTCTCCACGGAAACATTAAATTGTAATTCTTTGTGGTCTTAGCATAAACTTGTGAAGATTCGTAGCTCAGGTAGATAGTTTTGGTGAAGTTATGTCCTCTAATATTTACTATCTAACTAAATAAAGCCATGTGTTGTGAGTAATCTTGGGTAAAATTTTGTTCAAGTTACTTTTTAAAATTAAGTAATATATTGTCAGCCGTTTGTATCTTAACAGTCTTACTTAGTTTTTTAAAGGCTTCCTAAGTATAATACTTTGGAGTCGTATGGACTGATTTCATTATGAAAGAAGAATCCATAACCAATGTGAAAATGTTCATTAATCATGTAAAAAATAGTGAACAGTTTTGTAATTTCTTTTTTTCGATTATAAATTCTTCTTCCATATAATCTTTATTGTGATTGGTTAAAAACTATGAAAAATTGTACAACTTCATTTCACAAGTCTTTCATGATCTTCGGCATGGTTAAGCTTAACTTAAAGATCATTGAAGAGAAACTAGAAATCATATACAAACTGCCATTTAATTTATCAAAATAAGTTGACTGAATCATTTATCATGAATAAAATAAATAAATAAATAAGTAAATAATAATAATAATAAAACAGGATTGATAATACTCATATTCTTAAGAAAGGATGAGTATTGGATAATTATGCCTTTTTCATTAGTTCAGAGAATCGCCGAGTAGAAATATAGTTTTCTCATCTACAAATAAAACTGTACTGCCACTAGAATATATATTGAAGCAATGTGTCAGTGATTAAGGCTTTCGACTTCAAATCGTCTAGTCATTGGTTTGAATCCACTCCTCGTACTTCGATTTAGGTAAACAAGGTATATCATTAATCTTTAGACGTAGAGTTTGACTTAAACCCAAGTGTACAAGTTTGTATATGGTAAGTGATACTAATAATTAATAACTACTTATCACAGGTATGTGTCTCTGTGATGTAAACATATCTTAAATAAATAAAATATAAATTGTTAATTATTGTAACTCATTCACATTAATTACAAGTTAATGTATGCTGTTTTGAAGTATGCCGTTTACATGCAGGTTAGCGATACTATCCGGTTGTGCGAACCGCATTAAATAGAGTAAGGTATGACCTTACACATTATTGATTAAAAGTCGAATCTTTTAATCTCTAAGCCATTAATTCGTCTTTTTTATTGTATAGCTATCAAGTGATTTAGATGATGGGTAAAATACACACATGTACATTCACCACTAGTTTTCACCAAGTATATTTAATCCAATAAATTATATGGCTATTTCGATTGTTTTCAAATTAAAAATTGTTTTATTAAACATGACTAGAGTGTTAGGTTCGTTAAATAATATACATGATTAATGTCTACGACCTTTATCAATTAAATTGGATCATTCGCTAACATTGGACACTAATCAAGTAAATCCATTAATGGATATATTATAATCATAATGAATTATGATTTAAATACAAGAGAAATAACTGTATAGCATTTTTGTTCAGTTGAATCTAATCGATAGATATTAGACCCCCAAATGCCCCGGTACGGCCGAGAGTGGGGAGATTCTGCTCTCCCTCTCCAAATGCTCACACATGGCCACATGTATACAGCCTCTGTCAGGGAAGTCCTACTCACTCACGAAAAGCGAATGTCCGGCGATTTAACCGGGTTGGTGGACACGGAGAGTCCACCTAGGGGAGTTGAAAAACCCTGATTGCAAACCAAGTATGGTGATGCACATGGGCTCCAGTATCCTGAAGGAACAAATGGCATGTATGAGCCAATCGTTAGTCACCGGCTACCGACCGTATCTCTTCACGATGCTCCACTGCCTTATGGATCAGACTTTTAGCTCGACGACTCCGGGTGTGGTCCCCTAAGAAAACCACCTGTTCCGGTTTGGGCACCCGAGCAGTATCACAGCCCTCACACAAATCAAATGAAGTGTGTGTGGCGCATATTTATCTGGTGCTCCCTTGTACCAGTATTTATGTGTTCAAATAAATAAATAAAATAAATATCTGTTAGATATTAGTAATTAATGTGTGTCTAATATCCTGTCTATCAATTTGGCCATTTTATAGCGATCTCTTTCATCCATACTTTCATTGTTGATATCACCAACAAAAAAACCTTTTCAGGTTTTTCATAAATACAATTTACATGATCTTTCGATTTTACACTTTTTTTTTTTCTAATCACTCATTACTTATCTTAGAATATCTGGTTTAACTGTTCTTTGTTATCCAATATTATTTGAATCTCAAGAGTTTTATCTACTTCATGATATGCAAGTGGTTATTGATGAAGCAAGGTAGGTGAAGTAATTATTGGCCATTTTATTCTTGTATTGTTTTTCCTTATTATTATGTTTAATATGAAACACAAGAATGAAGTAGGGTGTAATATTTACTATCCTAGCATGATTAGATCATGTGAATTTGCTCGAAAAGAACTTACTAGAATGGCACTTAACTAAACTAATAAACTAAAAATACAATTATTCTCCCACTGATAAATCTCAATGAGATGTAGGAAATATCAAAAGATAAAAATATCTAATTTCTGTAAAGATCGATTAGTGTCAATACTGGCTCTTAATTATGACTGGAATTTGTGAATGGGTTGAAAGAATTCAACAATTCACATAACACCGTATCATCTATTTCACTTTATGTTCAACCATTTAAAGTATTTAAATTGTGGTTTTGTTACTTCAATGAACACGTTTATAGGTGATAAGTAGAGATAGCTATGAAATTTAAAGCATATCAACAAAAATGTCTATATTTACCGTATGTTTTTGTCATTATTTCATTGATCAACTGTTAGATAGCTTAAAACAAGACATAAGTGAATATTGTTTTCCATTAGATTCTCATCAATCTTTAATCTAATATGCAATCATATCGGTGTGCATATGTGGGAAAAATAGAACTGAACTGATCAAGAAAATATGTGTGCCAGTGATACACAACTCGTAAAAAATTTTTAAAAAATGCATAGCAGAATAAGAGGTGTAGTATTAGCAATGATATTAGTAACAGTCAAGAAACATTCTTTTCGTTATTCCTTTTGTACCCAGTACTTGAACAATAACAGCTTTTATCTCTCTCTTGTAAAATCGTTTTCTCCATAATTGATCATTTATCTGTTTGGTTATATAATCATCTATTATTATCGATCAATTTTATTTCTTGTTCGTTACAGACAGATTTTCTATTTTTGTCTAATTGGTGGAGATTGCGTGGACGTCCCACATTTTGTTTTCTGATGCGTGAAGATATGGTAAAGTAAGTTATTTTTTTTTAAAAAAGAATTCTATTTAGTATTTATGATAACACAGCATTGTTATTAATGCTGATTTCATTTATTGTCTTTTTTTTGGTAACCTAATATTAGTGGGTACTATTGTGTTAGATTGGTATCAAAACACAAACTGTAAATATTCGATTAGGTAAATTTCTATTTTCTGCACCATCACTTATAAATAAGTGTAATATCAGTATCACAGCGAAAATGTTAATATGACATACAGACTATTTTTATATAGAAGATAGATTAGTTATTCGAATTTGTAATCTCAATTTCAAGCAAGTTAACCATATATGTTCAGTAATATTACAATTTGGATGTTAATTGATTTACTAATGAGTACGTTTATTATCTTGGTCTGCTAAACTAATATACAGTAAGAAGTTGAGTAGGTGTAGAGAATAGTATTTTCAGCAATTATCGTCATTTCATTTCATTTTATTTGTGTGTAGGCTGTAATACTACCTGGGTGCTCAGATCGAAGCAGGTGGTTTTCTTAGGGGACCACACCCGGAGTTTTCGACCTAAAGGTCTGATCCATAAGGCAGTGGAGCATCGTGAAGAGATGCGGTCGGTAGCCGGTGACTAACGATTGGCTCATACATGCCATTTGTTCCTTCAGGATACTGGAGCCCATGTGCATCACCATACTTGGTTTGCAATCAGGGTTTTTCAACTCCCCTAGGTGGACTCTCCGTGTCCACCAACCCGGTTAAATCGCCGGACATTCGCTTTTCGTGAGTGAGTAGGACTTCCCTGACAGAGGCTGTATACATGTGGCCATGTGTGAGCATTTGGAGAGGGAGAGCAGAATCTCCCCACTCTCGGCCGTACCAGGGCATTTGTGGGCAGGTGTAGAAAGCCCTTTTTGGTGTATGGTAATTTCTTCTAATGTCCCATAAGCTTAGGTGTTAATTTATTTATTCAATGAATAATTCTGTTTTCCATTTTTACTTCATTGTTACCTTCATTATATTTTCTTGATAGTTCGTATGCTTTTGACATACTATATTTGATTATACCAGTATGATACAATAATTGTCATTCATGTTTGAAAAGATCATGATGCATTAAAAATTTAGCAGAACGAAATCTTTCTTAAACCAAGAAGTTATAAATTGGAATAATTGTTTATCAGTTTGATTATTATTCGTTGTTTTGGAGATTTCAGAAATCTGGACTCAGTGTAGTTTCGAATGTTAAAATACCTTATAAAGGCTCTCTACTCGAACACAACTGGTAGAGTCTTCTGACCACTCTAAGCAACAATGCAAGCATGTTCGGCATGCGATTCTCCCCTCGAAATGCAAAATGTTGCTCCAGGATTGGGTTGCATTGACACCCGAACTAATGATGGGGAGTAAAGTAGTTGAACGTGTCGACCGCCTCACTTATCTTGGAAGTCTGATCAGCCCTTGTGGTCTGATGTGTGACGAAATCTCAGCACGGATACAGAGGGCTCGACTAGCTTTTACCAACTTGCGTCATTTATGGCGTAGGCGAGATATCCGCCTATCAACCAAAGGACGTGTTTACTACGCAGCAGTTCGTTCCGTCCTACTTTATGGCAGTGAAACATGGCCTGTGAGGGTAGAGGATATTCGTAGGTTACTAGTATTCGATCATAGGTGTCTTCGAAATATTGCTCGTATATCCTGGGACTATCGAGTAAGTAACGCAGTTGTTAGGAAACGGGTACTATGTAAGGATGGCAAATCAATTGATGACGTAGTGAAACTTCATCAGTTGAGAAGTCTGGGACATGTGTTACGTATGCCCAACAACCGACTGCCCCGACGAGCGATGTTTTGTTGTATAGGAGTAGATTGGAAGAAAGCTAGTGGAGGCCAGACCAAAAAATGGCACAAGTCCATGAAGTCACTGACAAGTGGACTGAGCCATGTTGGTAGGTATAAACTACCTGGTTGGGATTCGCGATATGATAGCAACCGATGGTTAGAGACCTTGAGTGGCATGGCTCAAAATCGTTTGGAGTGGCGCAGGTGCATCCACTCTTTGTGTTCTCCCAAATTCCAATCTTCTGAATTCTTCATGCCCCTTTTTTTCTCTTTTGTAAATTGATTTCACTTTATTATACTCCTTGAATAACATCTCCAAACCCTACTTTTTCTGATTACAGCTTATAATTTTACTACATCTAGCACTACGGGATTTAGATCTACCACTGCATCTCTGTGCTAATGTGGTGTGGCAACTCGAACTGATGTACGTACGTACGTACGGAGTTCTACGTTGTTACTGACTGACTGACTGACTATCGTTTATTTGGCCTGTTATTGTGCTTTTCTTCTACTATTTCCGATTTTCCCGGTATATTTTTTGTGAGATTGTTATAACGTGAAAAAAATATGCTGATTGAGGGTAGCGAATTATTGATCGGACCAAAGACGCGCAAATACGTAGAACGACCTAGGGTTCTGATTGGTCTCGCTTACCCTGTCTAACCCAGCCAGTTGAGTCCAGAACACAAGTTTCAACCTCGGATATATGAATCATTATATTTCAAACATACTTTGTTTATATACCAATCAAGCAGACCACAACGTACCATAAAATAGAAAATAACATTGTACAATATTGGCCAACAGGAAAATGACACGTTAAATAAATATTGACCAATAAGATGATACCATTTCATGTTCAAGGATAGCATTAGGCTTAACAGGATAATTTTTGGGATATTTTCCTGAATATCCCAACAGAGATATTCTTTGGATTTTGATAGGTGAAAAATTTATTGTTGTAATCTGAATGAGATGATGCTAGGTCCCCAGAAATCAAGTGGTAAACTTCTTATGTTTATAATTTAATTGTTGGAATTTTAATTTCTCACTTTCGCTCCAAAAGCGCTCATTATCACATCTAGTTTGTGTTTTTAACTTGGTAGGGATCTAAACGTTATTGGTCCGTTCTCTTTTTTACTACGCTACGTTGTGACGCTTTTCATGGACATGTTTGTGTTGTGTATATTACTCATGAGTTGTATGCTTGTGGAATTATACGTTTTCAGAAGGGAGTTTTGTGGAGATTTTCAGTAATTTTATAGTTTAATTCATGAGTCAATTAAAGCTAGACCACCAAGGAAAATCTGGAAACACTAGACGGCTGTTTCGTCCCAGTATGGGACTCCTCTGAAGTGCGCATCCACATCCAGTGCTTCCAGGTTTTCCATGGTGGTCTAGCTTCCATCGACTCACGAATTCAACTATAAAATTACTAAAATCTTCACAAAACCCCTTTCTGATAATAATCATCATGTGCTCACTAGTGACTGCTTTCAAGAGGTATGTCCTGAAGTTCTAGTGAGAAGCAGTGACCAATGGAGTTCAACCGGCTCTGTTGTGAGATAGTAACTCACTGAGGACAATAGTCGAAGATGGCGTAGTTTCGTGGATTAGTTGGAGTTAGACATTAAGACCGTTGGATGCCGGCTCAGTGGTCTAGAGATTCGAGCGGGACCGTGGATGTGCTTTGCTGAAGAGATTCATGCTAGGGCGAAACGGCCGTCCTATGCTTCCAGGTTTTCCAGTGGTCTATCTTTAATTGACTCATGAATTCAACTCTAAAATTATATATTTTCCCTGATGACTCTGATCTTCTTCCTCTAGTTAACAGGGCTTGGGCGCAGAGGAATATCTTAGCTTGTCCTGTTGTCGCATTGCTGATTTTCAATTCGTTCTCCGTTCCAACGTCATGTCCTTATCCCTCGAACATAGCAGATTAATATTCTCCTAGAAGTCGAATGAATTTCTCTTACTGCCTTAGATACTTTACCACTAACAAGGTTTTAGTCTTTGTGAAACCCAGAAACTTACTTACGCCTGTTACTCCTAATGGAGCATAGGCCGCCGACCAGCATTCTCCAACCCACTCTGTCCTGGGCCTTCTTTTCTAGTTCCATCCAATTCTTGCTCATTTTTCTCATGTCTATTTCCATTTCTCGGCGTCAGTGGCTAGAGTCGTCATCAGATATGGCTCAGAATAGAAGCCAGTGGCGATCCTGCTGTAACCTTCTTTTACTTCATAAAAAGTGGCTGAATCTTCCTTACCTGAAAGATTTCTTCTGATTGTACCTTTCCGTTCCCTCGTTACTACCACACTACCTTACACCAATCTCCTCGTTATTGTTCTCTTTTTCTTTTTGCGCTCCTTAGTTTCTTTTTCTATTTCTCTTCGAATTCTCATTGTTTTGTGTGGCGCATATATATTGGCGCTCTCTTGTACCAATATTCATGTGTCCAAATAAATAATAATAATAATTTCTCGGTGTAATGTGTTCTTTGGACTTCCTCTTTTCCTTTGGCCTTGAGGATTCCATGTAAGGGCTTGTCTTGTGATGCAGTTGGGTGATTTCCTCAATGTGCGTCCTATCCACTTCCAGCGCTTCTTCCTGATTTCTTCCTCCACTGGAATCTGGTTTGTTCTCTCCCACAGTAGGTTGTTGCTAATAGTGTCCGGCCAACGGATTCGAAGTATTTTGCGTAGACAACTGTTAATAAACACCTATATTTTCTGGATGATGGCTTTCGTAGTTCTCCAGGTTTCTGCCCCATACAGTAGAACTGTCTTGACATTTGTATTGAAAATCCTGACCTTGGTGTTGGTTGACAGTTGTTTTGAGTTCCAGATGTTCCTCAGTTGTAAATATGCTGCTCTTGCTTTGCCGATCCGCGCCTTCACATCTGCATCAGATCCACCCTGTTCATCAATGATGCTGCCCAGATATGTAAGGGTTTTTACATCTTCCAAATCTTCTCCGTCAATTGTGATTGGATTGGTGCATGCTGTGTTGTATCGGAGAATCCTGCTTTTCCCTTTGTGTATATTGTGACCTACTGCTGCTGAGGCTGCTGCTCAGTGGTCGTTTTCTCCTGCATTTGTTGTTGCGTTTGGGATAGAAGAGCCAGATCATCAGCGAAGTCTAGATCGTCCAGCTGCATCCTAGATGTCCATTGTATCCCGTGTTTCCCTTCAGATGTTGACGTCTTCATGATCCAGTCGATCACCAGGAGAAAGAGAAAGGGTGAGAGTAAGCAACCTTGCCTAACACCGGTCTTGAAACCCAGAAAAGCGTACAATATTTTATTTACCATGAGACCTGACATTCGTGTTCTTGATAAAGTGTCTCGAAAGTGTAGTGGCTTTGCTTCGTTAATCAATCGCCTCTGTAACCGTTATTATATAAATCTCAACTGTGTTTGAAATCAGAAGGCAATAAGAAGTGGCAACCACAGTTTATTAACGGATAGCACGGATAACAAGGCTATAAGCACATCGAGCGAATTTGAGGCACAGAGGTGAATGTGTGTATGCGAGCAAATACAGAGCAGAGGCAAATTTATAGTCAAATCACACAAGTGTACAGCAAGCCAAAACAAAGGCTAATAATAGGATTCGCTTACATATATACACAGGGAAGAGAATGAATCATCGAGTGATATTTAAGTGATTAACATTTTAGTTAGTCTGTCATGTGATCAAGCGTACAAGTTTAGACAGTTATAATAGTGATCATAATAGTACGAAGAAATATGCGAATTGTTATTATTCGAATAGCATTGTCTGTTAAGTAAGTTAACAGAAGTTCTGAACCAAAATTAACCACAGTCGAAATTGGTTGTAGAATAGTTGCTATAAAAGCTTTATATAACAGGTTAAATTAATTTGGTGACTACGTCAACCGCTTCAATATCCTGTATATTGATAGGAACATCTTATGTGAATATGATGCTTATAAGTTATTCACCAACTCATATCATTTATATATTGAAATAGCTACCTCATAGCTTTCATAGGACAAGTGTATAGTATACAAGTGAATTCTGTTTTCCTTCGGGAATTATTGTTTTATTTTAGTTTTTTAGAACATACGTTGCTGAACTATAGGTACATTTGAACTGTCAGATGCAAACTGTAAAAATCACAATGAAACAGTGTTTAGGTTCTGTACAGGGTCAGTAGTCAGAGAATCATCATTTAATGAGGTGTTAAGCTTGCATAAACTTAAAGTTTTTTTTGGTGATTTGAGTACATTTTATGTGCAGTACAATTAGATGTAGTAGTTAATTTTTGGAAAGTTTGAGATTTTCCGTTGTTAGGTTTTTCATAGAAATATTTGTTAGAAACTTTGATAAACATCCTCTACTTTCTTCTTTTTCTCATTTTATATAGATATTGGAGAGTTGAAATAGGGTTTTAAGTGATCGCTTTCTTTTTTTCTCACATAATAATAACAATGTAGATTACCGATTAACACCGTGTTTTGTACGTTTGTATTATAGTTATCATTTTTTTAACCATTTTCCTCGTTTGCTTTTAGTATCCTTGATTTATGTTAATAAGAAATAACCTCGTTCAAATAGAAGAAAAGACGAAACTACTTTTTACATGAAATATCCATTTTTCATTGAATGCTAAAGATTTTTGGCTTTTTTTCTAAAGGTCAAGAAAGCATATTTTCAAAGACGAAATAACTACGCTTCATTATGAAAATGTACCGTAGTAGTGTGACTGTTCGTCTCCTAACTGACGTGGCCTAGGTTCATTAATCTTTCTCACCTCCTTTATCATGGTCAGGATGATAGAATCTCCAATTCCCTTACCTTATAAGTAGGGCTGAAAGTTGACTACATGACTTGACATGAATAATTATCAATGTAACGAGAGTGAATTGACAACAGGACTAAACAACTAATAAATAAAAATGTCGAAGAAAATAAACAGGGATTGGTATTTTAAAGTTTTTAATGACGTTAAGTTCAAGATTCAGAAGAAAAGAACAGATACACTAGTTTCCGTATGGCTGATCTTTGAGCCACATACATGGAAGCTTCCTAGTATCGAATGGAATTGGTGGGTTTCATAACCTATGAAAATGAGGACTAGACATTGCTTCTTATCTCGAACTAATGGTTGATGTGTTGTATCTGGGCAAGTTTGGCACATAATTCGACCGCTTCAAGCTATATTATTATACCATTACTTAGTACTGTTTGGGTAATATGAGCACTACCTAACTAGGTGATCACTCATCGTTTGTGAAGTTAGGTTGATTAGATTTTCTTTGTCTGATGCTAACTATCTTACATGATCACACTGATCTTGGTGATCCTTATTCCTTCAATTTGTATTTGTTTATGTTTATTTTCATCTTTTACATTCTTTGTAATAGACTGCATTGATCCATTCATCATCTGATAACTTGTATCTAAAGTGAACTATCACATAAAAACCCCTTTGTATACGATTCATTGTTTATTTGTGTTTTTAAAACTTTTCCTAATGTCTAACATGAAGTTGTCATAATTTTAATTTTTAACTGCATTATACCATCGTTATCACAACAACCATAATTATTTATCATTCTATTTAAATAAATAAAATTGTTTATCTCATGACCCATTAGTCATTTTCATCCATCAGTCCAAAAGTGTTTAAACATATTTTGTAAAAAAAAAAATAGTTACGATGGTGAATCAATATGTTATTAGAATGTAAATCATTCAATTATAATTTCTAGAATTATTGATTAGTTATTAGATTGATCAAATTTCAATGCTTGTGATTGATGTGTTAATTATTTCCTCTTAATTTCTAATTATATCTCAGTTTATTGAAAAGTTGTACTATTGTATAAATGTGATTATAACATAATGTGATATATTCTTAAGTAATGCGAATGTCCTCTTGGGCTGATCCTTTCCATCTGGCTATACATACATAATATCTGATCCCAACTCATCAGTACACATGGATTAGCATTTTTTTTCTGGCACAAATCCTTCCCGTTTAATACACTCTACAAATGTATTAATTCTTTATAAATTTTATTGCAATTTTAAAGGTCAATATGTTTAAGCCATATTTTGTATTCATAATACTACTCAAATACTACTTATAAATTTGTTTCAAATTATATTTAGTATTTAAAGAAGACAATATAAAACCATTAATTTCGCTGACATTTTAACATCCATCATTTTGGTTCTAGGTTTTCGACAGTTCCTGAATTTCAACGTATATACTCACATGTTATGTTTAAAAATCTATGTCACAACACATGTTTTCTCAGTACACAACCAGAATATATGGATTTCGTTCTCTAGTAATTAATACATATTACTTGAAGGAACAGATACAAATAATTGTTCACACTTAAACCTCGATATTAGTCACATGCCGCTTGTGGACATAGTGATAGCAAAAGAGTCACTGAGTAGTTAAAATGCTTAGACTTCGAACAGAGTAGATCTCAGGTTCGACCTACTCCATTTCTGGTTCTTAAGCTTGCACTTGGTAAATGAGTTGGGTTAATGTGATAATAAGGACTAGGGGGGCGGTGAAAGTAGGGTTTTTTTCAACTAATCAGTGCTGCACATAATCAAACAAACAATCATATCATATATGTGTGGTGTATGCTACTTATGTTTACAGATATAAGTAGTAACACCAATCAAAATTGGAATATCTGGTAACAGAACATTGAGATCAGATCCAGTCGATAAATCACTGTTTTTTAATTGGTGGCATCATTACGTTATATATTAATTTGGAACAAGGTCACAAGTTATAACAATATGTATCAGTTCCTGGCTTTCATTTCCTTTCATAATTTTCTAATTTGGTTTTTTAATTGTTATTTGTTTTAACTAGTTGTAAATTATTTTCTCTAATATGATTATTCATTTATATTTATAATAATAGGGTCCCAGGCTTCGATAAGTTGCTTCGTTTCCTTGTCAGCATGAAAAATGGGACTGTTCAGGAAGCCCATGTTGTTTTGGGACGTGCACAGGTAAAATTTTTCTTTAGGTAGTCTATAACTTTATCTTAAGTCGTAAAGTTTATACATGTTTGTGCACAGGATAAATTGTAAGCTTTATGCCTGCTGACTTACGTTGCTCTAAACACAAATGAACAGACAAACAAACTGAATAGTATCCTCTGCATTTTTGATGGGAATAAAATTTCAGATATATGTTACATCGTGTTCTTAACTTATCAGCTGGATGCACTTACATTCCAATCCCGGATACGTGCTTGTTAAGCCACCAATGCTCTATTCACTCGGCTGTTACGTTATGGTGATTACCAGTTGCTTGAAAAGTCTATTTAAGAACCTATATGCTATTAGAGACTAGTCAGTTTGTTTCTGAAAATCAAGAAGAAAAAATTGACTGGTTATATTGTTTAATATACCAAACTGGTGTCACTAGTCCTCGAAGGTGCGTAATATCTTACATAACTAGTTAAGTTCTTTTCATAGGGTTTACTGATAACTGTAGTTCTAGTCTCAACATTTCAGGTCTACCAATTTTCTCAAATGAAGGCAATGACCTGAGAGGCGTTCCGCTTTAAATACTTGTAACTTTTTCACGGTGTAATTTCGATGAAGTTTTGTTCTCTGAGCTGAATAGTTTGGTCATGTAGTTTCTGAACGACCTCATCAACATAAAATTCAGGTAGAAGTGAAGTGTTCGAATTTCCCCACATCCGATTCGTAACTTGTCCTGTTGTTGACATTAAACCTGTCATTGTTTACTTTGTTTTGATTGTATCTCCCAAAGAACAGACTACTGTACTGTTTAGTTGGATATAATAATGAGTAAAACGGTTTCTTATAAAAGGCTTTTAGTCCTACAGCAGTCCCTGTTCGTGAATTATTTTAATCAGAATCATAAAAATAACGGAGATTGAACGGTAGCTTAATTTACGTAGACTATTGTCGAGTTTGCACAATTCGAAAACTCCTCTTCCTAGTTCATGTTAATTTGCCTGTCAGTTTTCATTAATTTCGTAAATAAGATATCCAAACTGTAATATGTTCCTGTATGCTCTAATTACACCATTCATCATTGATTATTGAATATCTTGTTCAGCCGACCTTAAACACTTTGATATATGTCGTTGTTGTAACAAACACTGTAAAAAAATTAGTTCCATCCGTCGTTTTATCCATGTTCTTAAAAATCAGTCAATAGCACACATGAAAGTAATACGACTTTTTAACTAAATAAATAATACTCTTCGAATATTCACTTTCTTGAGTTTGTAGAAAGTTAAAATGTAATATAATCTTATATTTTATATTTTGTTTTATCACTGATTATGATTAATTGTTGTTGTTATGTATATCAATGGATCATAAGTTTTAACAAATTCTTTAACAAAACAAATTTCTCATGAGTACTTGTTGATTTCCACTGATTTACTTTTTTATACATTTGGAATTCCAATGATGTTTTCGTTTCTGTGAACTTTGCATTATACTTCAGGAACTCATTGAGTGCCTTCAACGCATTGGGTTGATCACAAGATTAAAAACATTTGGAATTTTCTAATTATTAATTCTTTTCTGTTTATTTCAAGTTTGTAACATTCGACAGTTATAATAACATAAAATTCTTATATACATTAAATGAATTTTAATTAAATTTTAGAAATTTGTTGCAAGTGGATTTGTTGAACATTTAGACTTTTTGCCATATTGGACTGCTAAAGGTGAATATTTTCGTAGATTACATCAATTAGATACTGGACGTTCATATCAAAGTTTAGATAATTTGCCTAAAGCAGTGAATATACCGTCGAAATCTTTAAATCGGTTTCAATCACATATGTCCGACGAGGAAATTATTCAAAGTATTCATGCTATAGATAGAAAAGTATGTTCCTCTTAACATTGACTTCAGTCTACATAGTCAAGTACTATAATTAGCACACATACTCAAGCTTTGAGTGAACAAACCTGTTATTGATTATATACATTGAATTTATGTATTTCTTGTTTTGTTTCGATAATTAACTGTCACATCTCTTATACACTAGATTATAAAGTTGAATGTTTCGAACAAAATCGCCACATATCACTTACATAAATGATAATTGTGTGAATAGTAGTGAATAGCTTTCAGATCTAATTCTCAACGTTTTGAAGACCATCTATGAGAGTTCAACCATTTTGGGAATAAGATGATAGCATTTGTCGATCATCAAGTTCTGTCGCAAATTGACTAACCTTGGTTGAAAAAATAGACTATAGTTTGAGATTGTCGTGGTCACCACTAGTTCTAGCACCCGATATAGCAAAAGCTTAGTCTTCAGACATAACACGTGTAAACATACATATAAACCTTCGATGGTAAGTAATATTCGGGTTTATAGGTTTAAGGTGATTACTTCTTGTCTATGTTGTATGTAATGTTGTAAAGAGTTTCAATATTCATTGAGATCTGGTATTCAAAAATACAAAATCTATAGCTTATAACTATTCTCACAGGGTAATTTCCCCAATAGCTAAGTCAGTAATAACAGCTTTCTCTTAATTTTAGTATTGAATTTTTTAAATTTACATACTTGATTCTATTATTATTTTGCTTCTTCTGATGAAATATGCCTTTTCGTGTTCTTTTCTCTCTGTTCAACTGTGTGGTCTGGATAAAAAACAACTTTATTTAGCTTTTACAAAAAGTAACTGATCAACAAGTAATTGAACAAGCTATCAAACCAGGTGATAGTCCATTAAACTTAGCTTATCGAATTGCTGCATTACATGAATTATTAAATCGACATGGTTTGGATCATGGTTTTTCAACTGATCAGCATTTTCTCATTGTACGTGATTGCCTCACGGAATTGTCACGAAAAGCCGGTATTCAACAGGCATGGTAAATCTCTACTCTTTTTAAAATCTTGAATTTATGATAACTGAAATTTAAGATTTTTCAAATCCTTTTTAACTATTATTTATTTTAATGGTTGAGATCACGAGTCAATTGAAGCTAGACCACCATGGAAAACCTGGAAGCACTGGACGGCCGTTTCGTCCTAGTACGGGCTTCCTCAGCAGTGCGCATCTACATCCAGTGCTTCCAGGTTTTCCATGGTGGTCTAGCTTCAATTGATTCATGATCTCAACTATTAAAATTATTATAATATCCACAAAATCCTTTCTGAAAATAATAATAGTTCTTAATTTTGAGATGATTTATTGGCTGTCGTTTGACATAGATCAGTGCTATTCAACTTATTATTAGATAAATATAAGAGAAAAAACAGATTGTTTGTGTTTATCAGTCATTATCGTCAATTAATGGCATCTATACTTTTGTTGATAACATTGTGTATTTTGATTTGTTATGTGCATTAATTTAAGCTTGATTAAACCATGTTTATCAAGTCACTAATAACTGAGCCAAAAGTTGCATTTTTTCCTGGAATCCCAAAACGGTTATAAATCCTCTTACATTTGGATATAATTACTGTTGTTAAAAACGTTCAATACTCATAATATCTGTATCCTACATCTGTCAATTGTTAATATCTAGTATTATAGTTTTGGTTTACTGTATGTTTTTTTTCAATACAGTTACTTTTGAATGATTTGTTTATAAAGTATGTTTTAAATAAGATTTCTAACGTTATCAATACTTTACTCTGTCAGCAAGAATATTCACCTTCACCACAACCAATACGATTATTATTTCAATCAGGAAAATAGCACATGTACATCTTTATAGCTTTAAGTTTCTATGTATTCTAATCATACTATAAAGTTCAATTGGAGTTTTGTTTCAATACTGAATATCCTTCTCATTGGACTATTGAGATAAATTATAACTGAGGTAGATAATTTCCATAGTATTGTGTTATTCATCAACTGGATGGTTCGATTACCAGCTTTTCACTGTCATTATGGTCATCATCACGTTAATCTGATTGAAGTAGAAGTGTGAGTTTTGTTCATAATTATTCCATAAGCGTTAAGTTAATCGATTCTTATGACTTTGTTCGTGACTGATTGTCATCATCATAGCTTTTATTATCCTTGCATTTGTATTGACCTCCGATCATATGGTTGATTGATCTCTCCTGTGTGGATTAATAACTTGAATCGATTATGTGATTGTTTATTGTTTGGAAATTGACCTAAATAGGATGTTTCTAAAAGTATTATCTAACCTTATTAAAATTTCATCAATTCATCATATATAGTATTTATCATAAGTCTGTTTATTTGCTGTTGGAAACCACCAACTATTTAAAGGCTACCACTAGACTGTAATTCAATATCATTATGTAAGGCTTAGCAAAACGTTTATGTGGCTACTGTTATGACTTGTAACAGACTAAGTAACGTTTCTGAACTTCTAATCTGTTTGTGGTAAATTTCCTAACAGCTCACTTCATTGCAATTTACGTCTCTGTATGTTTTTCATACAGTAATGTTTTATGTATATCTTTGCATATAATACTGTATGTATGTAGTATTCATATTTATTTGAAGTAACTATTAAACCTGTCCTTGTCGTGACTAATTCACAATTCACCATAAGTTGTTGTATGCTCTTCATTATTTTCAGGTGTGTAGTACGTTTATCTGCTGCTTTATTATCTCAATTCGCCAGTAGTTTAGCTCCGTCATTGTCAACTATTCTCGTCTGTGGCAAACAGCCTACTGTTGGCATTCCCAAAGCTCAGAAGTTGTTATCAACAAACCTTTAAATCCAGATGAATTACATGCTTTATTACGTGAAGAAGTTTATTCATATGATCCGGTACAGTTTTCCTTACAACAAGAACTTATCCTGTCTGTTAGTAGTTTGTTGACTACAAATAAGGAGTTGTTTGATGGAATCAAATTTATACGCTTTGGGTGAGTAAATTAACATCTCGTAAATAGAGATTTATATAATGGATATATATTTCCGACATATTTTCAAGCAGTATATATGTATATGTATTAAGTGTGGCGCATATATATTTGGCGCACCCATGTACCAATATTTATGTGTTCAAATAAATAAATAAATAATATGTATTAAACAGACAGTCAAAAGGCATTGTAGCCTTTAGTGATAGACAGTAGTGGAACACTTTTAGTCATGATCAAAAGATTATATCTTAGTTTAGTCAGTTATAGACTTGAGACAAATGTGTATCGTTCAAGTTATCATCTCCTACATCACCACAAATAAATAAACTGTTATCATCCCAAGTGGAAATATTAATATTAGGAAGTATATTGTTCAAAACAAAAACAGAAGATCAGAGAATTAAAAAGTATGAAATAACATGAAGCTCTAAATCAATGGGAAAATAAATAATAAATACCGATACATTAATTGGATCAACTTTGAACTATTTTATTTTCTATGGTCTGCAATCACTATCTACAGTTACTGTGCTCATTCATATTTGATATTTGTTTGCTGTGATGAACTGAAATAAATTAATTTGTAATCAGTTGTTTCTTTTCTTCAATTAGACGAATCTGAATAAACTGAAGGATCTACATAGATATATGAAGTTCTATTAAAGTGAATCATTTTGACTTATCATATTTCACAATAAAAATAAAAGTGAAAATTCATAAAAATGAAATGATGTAATCACGATGAATATAAGAGAGAAAAAGAGGAAAAAAGAGACATTTTCCGCTGGATATTGCAATGTAGAATTCTTAGCAAAAAGTGTTTCAACAAGTTTCTTTTACAAAAAAAAAGGAAAAATAAAGTGAAAGAAACTGATAACTGGATACATAAATACATAAGTAGATAAATCACTTGGAATTAAATGAAATGTTTTTTAAGAAGATTTGAATCTGTACAATATTTTAATTAGAAACATGTTTAAGAATACAAGTTGTTGACTAGATCAGCTCTAACAATCTGTTCGTCATAACGTGCAGTTGCTAGATAATTTATTGTAGAAATTTTATATCTTTTTTTGTATGCATGGATTCTAATGTATTGACATCTCATTCTACCAGAAGATATACAAGAAGAAAGATATAAATGAAGTGGATGATTAGTATTTGATAAGATAACACCTGACAGCAATTTACAAGATGTCTGTCCATAACCATATTAATAATTACCTCAAAAAATTCACCACACACCCTGCTAACTGCCTTCACCACCCTCCGCAGTACAGCAAATCCTTTCCCAAAAGCATGCAGCCTCTTTATGTAGTAAGTCGGACGGAAAACTTTCTTCAACAAAAATAAAGTGTAAGAAAGCCAAGAGAGATAAGATGAAAAACTAGCATCATGGTAAATGACTTTTGACACTATGTTTATCAAGGAATTTCCAATATTGCGAACATTTTAGGATTCCAACTGTGTATTTAGGTGTTCTTTATGTCTCAGGCTAAAGTTAATCGTTTGAAATTTAGACGGGTTGTGAGACCATTAACAACAAACCACCGTTCAATACGAGACGAGAACTCATTCGATTCAAGAGGATGTAAGGATGTAGAAATCGACATACAGACAGTGAGATAGTCCGCGTACACACAAAATATTTCCTGTGGAAGATGGGGGATCATACCGAAATAAAAGAGAAAAGAAGAGGGGAAAGAACAGTTTCTTGTGGCACACAGTGGAATAATATAAACGTCGAACACTTTCCTCCAAACACTGTACTGTTCTCTTCCAGAGAGGTAGGAACATAGCTGGTTGGTGATCCAGCTGTCGCTGTTGACACTGATTAATTTTTTAAGTAGAAGTCGTCTTGGAATGGAGTCAAAGGCAGAAGTACGGTCCGTAAAAGCGCATAGAACATATTTCTTACCCTTTCCCAAGCTGCACATTATATTATGCAGAACAATAGCAGCACCCAAGGTGCTCTAGCATTTGTAAGCAAACTGATATGGATCAATGTGCTCTATTAGTGCAGGCTGAAGTAGAAGTGGCAATAATATTTCCATCGTTTTGAAAAAAGGTAAAGTTATTACCATGGGTCTAAATTCCACATTCTTATCGCCAGACTTTTTCTTATGCATTTGGATTATCTTTATCTTTCTCCACATTTTTAGCATGAGATCAGTTGAGAAGGATCTGTTAGAACTGCTCGTGAACAGATAACATAGAAGTATTTAACTTTAATGATTCATGATTAATAAACTTAGTTAACGTTTACTTTCCCATTTTTAGTTGGTTATTGGAGGCAATGAAATTGAAACTTGAACTAGAAATATGTTTAGGTGTTGGTGAAGATTCTTATCTTCATCATCATCATCAACAACAACAACATCACGATGGTGAATTTTGCAAATCTAGATCCATCTATGAATCTGTATTAAAATCGTTGACAAATTTAGAAATACACCCACGTAGTTTAGGTGCATGTCATTTGTATAGTTTGCCTCCATGTCAAGTTAAAAATTTATTATTACGTACATTGAAAGCTGGTCAAGAAGGAAAAACTCAATATTCACATGATAATTCTGTGGATTCCACAACAACATTTACCCCTACTACAACTGGTTGTACTACTACACCTACTGCTGGTGGTTTTAATTCTACTAAACCGACCGCAAATAATACTCGAGAATTATCAGTTATCACTGAATGTGGACCAACAAGTAAGAAATATTGAGTGGTTGTTTATATACTCTTGTGTTGGTTTTCTCACATGAAAAATTTAAAGTATAATTCTTACCATTTTACTGTTTACTAATTAGTATAGTAAATCCTATGCATAGGTGAATTATATCGTAGACATCATTAACTGAATGTAAAAAATTAAGATCAGAATGCTCTCCATATATAATGAAATGACAAAAATTTGAAAATGTAGAAGCTAGGGAGTTTCGTGCTCTTTAGCAGTCAATCCGGGAAGTCGTTACGGATCAACGGTTGTTGGTACAACATAACCACCTTTTATTATACAATTTTATGTCGTATACTGCTTACGTTTTTGTTTTATTGATTGAATCCTAGCGTCGACAAAAATATCCATTTTGAAAATTGACGTAAAAGTGAGCAAACCATCGAAACCATTATTTATAGATCTTAACCGTTATTGATTGACTTTCTCCACCGTGTCGAAATTCGTTTCTGGACATCAGCATCACTAATACAGTGTTACTATTTTATGTGAACAATCCTTTGTAGATAGTGATTATAGAGCGTAAATGTTTCTTAAATGTCTTTCAAGAGGTCCCATCAAATTTGTTTCTGTCCAACTACTATGTTAAGTATTTTTTGGCTTAACTGGACCAATATAAAAATGACCAGAAAAACAATAGACAATCATTTTTTTAAAAACTATTTATTCAGTGTTTTGTGAACCATTTTTGAGACCTAATCATCTCTCTAAGAATTTACCTATTTTGAGTTACGTACATAGCTGATACGCAGATATTTTTATTTATAACAATTCTTCTCGTTTCTGTAGTTATTAATCCCGGTTAAGTATTGAATTTTGCATAAGAAAAAGAGAATTCAGCAAAGAAAATTTTCTTTTCGACGAAATCATTTAATTTGTGTCAGATAATAATCCAATTGACAGATATGAAGATTAGCGACAAACACAAAGGTCATAATAATAGACCGAATAATAATCAACCTTTGTGTTATTTTCTTCCTTAACCCTTGATTAGTATGTAATCTCATTTGTTATTTATTCTCGAATCCATTTTTGTGATGCAATCTTTTCTATTCTCCTATAGATATATATTTCCTATATAACTATATATACGAATGTACAGCTTAAGTAAATGATTTCGTCGAAAAGAAAATTTTCTTTGCTGAACTCTCTTTTTCTTATTGGATTTTGCATTCAACTCAAATATTTGCACGTAAAAGAATCCATAATAGAAAAAATTAGTTGTATTTTTAATTTAGTTAAAGTCTCACTGGTGATTTATTAATTTAAGAGATTTCAAGTTTCCTTTTGTTTACACATTGTTAGTTACTATATACTGAACTTGCTCTAGATAGTATTCCATTGAAAATATGTTTTTTTTAATTATTGGTATTCTATATCAAGATGTTTCGGAATATATTCATCAGACTCGTCGTACTCGTTTGCGTCGCAATATTCATCATGATAAGCGTTCTCGTAATTCAAGTGTATTTTCGTCTGCAGAACTTTTAGATATACCAAAAGCATTGTTTCAACGTCAATTGGATGGGTGTTTAGGCGTAGTACCTTCAACATTTTATCAAGGTGTTTATTTTATTCTTGAACGATCTCCTCATGGTATATTGATTTATGGTAAACTTCTTCCACAGGTAAATAAACTAGTCTTTTTTGGAGCTTTTCCTTCGTTTTCGTCTCATTGTTTGTACAACCAGGTTGCATGTTTTACGTTTGAACAAAGTGATACGTTTTGCATTCAGTAACGTGTATTTCCATAATCACATAGATACTGATTATTTTTGAGTGTTAAATTTGTGTGATATAGCACCTCAGTCAAATATGTGGCCATCGATGTCAGAAACTTAAAGTAAACATCATTTTCCTTTGGTTTATGTACAATTTAAGTTCGTGATATAATTCATATGAATTCTTTTCAGTCACCCTCATATGATCAACTGGTTTAATACAATATTAGATGCATTTCACTAAACAATATAAATCCACAATAAATACACTTAATCCCTCCACTAGATTTTCTCTTTTCCTGAGACTCATTATTGTTAGAAAACAAGACCTAACTTGTAACTTCAAAGAATTATTATTTGGCATATATATAATTATTTTAAAGTTTCTAAAAATAGTTTTAATATTATTGCTGGTCTTAATTTTATCTTTAAAGAAACCTATTTTAACTGATATGACGCCGTATGATCTCAACTTTGTTGATGAAGTTGAATGTCTTCTAAGAGCAATATGTGATCCTGCTTATCGGTCATTGGTTGTTGAGACAATGATGGTCATCGCAGTTATATTACAAAGAAACACTGAATTATCATTTGATGAGGTAGTCGATATTAAACTCATTATTATGGATGCAATAAACGCTTTTAAGCGTGATCGTCATACTAACATGTAAGTTATTCTTCACTTCTTTGTTTAAATGTTTTATTCAATGTGCAATTCCTCACACTTTTAAAAGTTAATCTTAAGTGATTACAGAGGAAAAAGTGTTTTTTTTAACAAATAGTTCAATAGTAAAATGTAACAGTGAATCATGGTTTAAAATATTTCATTTGCTTATCTTAGGGAATATTTATTTTTTTATTGTTCCTATGACACGTCAATTGTTTTACTAGTTATATTTTTACTATACATCATGTAACTTAAAGTATCTTGCTTTTCTATGTTAACATCTATTCGAACTAAGCTTTTTCAGACCCGAACGTGTAATGTTGAAATTACTTGAATTTCAACATCGGAAATTATTTCGAATATAATGCGCAAGTTAATATGCAATAGAAATTTTGACTTGAATACTACACTTACCTTTAATAATACAGATGTTGAGGAAAAGCTGTAGTTAGTTAGTTGATAATTTTATCTTTAGTCTGTCTGTGTATTTCAGACCTTATTAGAACACGGGGAATCGTACGACACTTGACAGATAATGGTGTTGTTTTATCAATCACTAACTTGCAATAAAGTGGTTACAATGAAGTTATTCAGTCCTTCTTATGTGAATTTTAATTTTCAACCTTAACATCTAGTTAGCGTTGCAAAACAATATAAATGCTGAGAACATACAGCACTAATCATACTGTCAAGCGTACATTTAAGTTGAGGGTACTTCCCAAATAATCAAATGAGAATTAAGCTACGACAGTAAAAATCAGCGTGGAGCAGATAGCTGTATCATTTGGGGACTATTAACAATTTATGAAACACAAGCTAAGAGAAATCAAACTAGTTGTTTAAAGCGAAAGAAACTTCAAATGTTAGTTTGACCAAGGAAAACTATATTTTTAAGTGATCACGAAAGTGTTACAAGCAAAGAACCGAACTAAAATATCGAATTAGGAGTTTAAGTATAACAGAAACAATGCGCTATAGAATATACGTCATAAAAATTGTTTGGTACACTCAGACTAGTGTATCGTCATAAAGTAGTGTAAATGACATACACAAAACGACAAGGTGATAAGAAATGATTTGCAAAATAATTTAACCCATTGTGGCAATGAAACCTTAGCAACGTGTTCAGCATACCTATATAATCTTTATATTTGTACTTCTTCAAGTACTTAATTAGTTGTATAGATACACAAGTCAATGACTTGTGGAAATCTACAGGCACTCCGCTAAAATATCTACTATATTTGTATAGGTCAAATCATCCCTTATAATTTATTTATGAATTTTTTTAAATCTTTCACTTATTATGTGGTTTGGCAATTTTTCTTTGGTAATTCATAACTTCGATCTTAAGTTCCTATTTCTTTTCTATAAACATAACGGTTTATTTTCTTTTATATTAGCTCCGTTGTTTATGTATGTATATTATATAATTCTATTTGTGTTCAGTGATTTCTAAAATTAACTTTCCATCTTTTTTTTACAACAACCTGTCCTATAATTTTTAGGTAAAAATATTAATTTACATGATTAAATTATTTAACAGAAAGATTTTAGTGAGTGTTAAGTATGATGATGCACATGGGCTCCAGTATCCTGAGGGGACAAATGGCGTATGAACCAATCATTGGTCACCGGCTACCATGGGACTGCATCTCCTTACGATGCTCCACTGCCTTGTGGATCAGACCTTTAGGTCAAAGGCTCCGGATGTGACCCCTAAGAAAACCACCTGTTTCGGTTTGGGCACCCGAGCAGTATCACAGCCCTCACACAAATTTAATAAGATGACAAACATTCCACAAAATACTATGCTCGCTTCGATTTCTTGCCTACAATTTAAAATCGATTTATAAAACAACAAAGAGAAGAATAATCTCTGTCTATAAAGAGAATAATAATAGTTTTATAAGTTAATTTATTGCTTCTTCTAGCTATCAGTTAGGTTTATTTTACCAAATGGAGTTGTTGTAGTATTTTTCTTTTTTTTGAGTTAGCAAAATTACTCTTATTCATTTACAAATTACGTAGAACCTAGCATAAAATCTGATCTGTTGAAATCTCCAAATCATTTCAACACAATGAAATGTAATTAACAAGATGCTCAGAGAAGGAATTCAAGTAAAAATAATGTGTGTGATTGAAAGGAGGGCAAAACACAAAGAATATGGTTTACATTTGTCTTTATGGATTGGAGAAACAGTTTATTAATGATAGATATGGACGGGTCTTTGACTGATTGATTTTTTGTCTATTTCCTATTAGGTAGAAGTGATTATTTCTAAAATTAACGGTTCTTCACTAAATTCGAGGTTTTTTAAAATTTAATTTTGGAAATTATAAGAAATATGGGGCAGCATAGTGTGGCTTTAAATTCGTGATAAGCAAACACTGTCCACAGCTCCATAATTTTTATTCTGTTGTATAATCCAATCTATCCGTTGGTATATTTCACTTCTACAAAACTTCTTCACTTCAAATGATCTCACTATAACATTTTCGACTGAGATGCAATGAAATGAGTTTTGATCTTGTAGAGAGTAATATTTCCCTCGTAAAATTACAGATACGTTTTCTTGATAAGTGTCAGTTAATTCGACATCAGGGCTTCTAGTCAGTCAAAAATGCAAAAACATTATTTTGTGTTTATTCACTATCATATTGTTATGGCTAGTCTCCAATTGTTATGTCTAGTCGTCGCTGGTTATTATGTCGGAATCGCTTACTACTAATACTTATAAAACGAGAAACCACTGCAATTCCCACGACGCGAACTAAGAACACTAAGACTTGTACAATTGAAGATTTATTAACCCCAAAATATACTCATATATTGATTGCACACTCATTTCGATTAGTAATTAGAACAAAACCATATATATGAAAAATACTCAAAGTTGTAACAAGTCACATGCTGCATATCATACTGAGCATAGTTCATGTTAATTTAATACAAGGAATATTGTATCTTGAACAAACACATCACACTCAAATAAATTAATGTTTTAATGAATAAAAGATCACACTGGTAAACAAAACAAATACTACACTGAATAATCACCATATTGAAATTTGCAAAAAAAAACGGAAGTAATGTTAAGCGGAAATCGCAATGAGTAAAAGTATATAATTTAGCTTTCTAATCCCATTATATCATATATATTTTTTCTTCTGTACAATTTGAATATTTCTTGTCTTTATTAATTCACCTGGATTGCACACGTGTGTTTGTTTGCTGTTTTATGTAGTTAACGGTTTTAATCATGGAGTGTTTATCGTTTTTTATGCACAGCAGAAGAAATAAAGTTGTACGCTGTCAAATTCTAAAATAAACATGTAAAATATCCTTACTTTTATGCGGTACCTGTTAACGGTTTCTGTGAGAATCGACTGTTTTGAGCAGACAGTGTTTCAATAATTTGGTTCGTATTGCTAATTCCCTGTAATATTGCTGTCTGTTAAACATCAATAGATTAATTTTTTTTGATTTATTACCTTTCATTTTTAAAATACCATTTTCTCTCTCAGTTGTGCAGTTCATTTCTATTTTTCTAATATTTTATTTAGGTCTACTGATAACGTCCTTCCCCATTTAGAGAGACGTTTGTCATGGTCTGAACCAGATATGCTGTCTTCCTTGGAACTACCCATTTATCTGGAATTTGCATCAACTCCGGCGAATGCCACCATGGGAACTACTTCTTATATCGCGAAGTCCGTGCTTGATAGACTATTAAAGGGACATATAGATCTTACTAGCGTTACTAAAGACGCTTGTTGTGCAATGTGATTTATTGTATGAATTCTAAAAGGAAATTAATTTTATGGTATGTTTATAGCATTTTACTTCATGTAAGTCATCATAGATCTCCCCTCAGCAGGTATTTGTAAAACATCCTTTTAGTATTTAAACAACCTTATAGTGTGACCGTTATTAGCGTTATTATTTTCATTTTTTCTGCTTATTCCTCTCTTCAGTTACTTACATGTTTTATAGTAATACCTCATGAATTGTCATGATTTCACCTATAAATTACATTTCACCGGATGATATTTTTTTTCGAATCAGGGGTATCATTGGTGGAAATGTCTTTACGAAGTTTGAAAGACTATTGTTATTGTTATCACTTGACAGGAATCATGTGATTATGACTAGCGCTCGACTAATTTGGCAGTCAGTTGCGTAGTGTTTGAATGGATAGATTCATATTCTAGTTAGCGAATTTATACTGCACAGGATTTCATGTTTAATGTCTTTACGAGCGATAAAATGGAGACTTTGAACTCTAGTGTTTACTTGTTGACACTTATTAACAAAGCGTATTTATTGTTGTGAAATAAATAATGTTGATTCTGAAGGTATGAGTTATATCATTTTAATTCACCAATGAGGGCTTGGTAGTTGAATCACCTGACTGTTACCTATAGTTTCGGAGACGTGGATCCTACTTCGGTTTGGGAAACCAGATAATTCTCTTAAACAAAACTTTACGCTTGAAACTGAGTATATTAACTGGCACTCGATCACTGCGTTGCACTCATTAGTGATGTCAATAGTTAGTAATAATTGTGTTTCTGTCATAACTTGTAACCGCCTATTACAGAGCAGTGAATTATCGATCGGACCAAGGACGCATAAAACACGTGCGAGCAGCCTAGAGTCCTCATTGATCCTGCTTTCCGCCTAGCCCAGCCAGTTAAGTCCAGAACGCCAAACTCAGCATCCGCAGTATGAATCATTATATTTCAAACATACTGAGTTTATATGCCAATCAAACAGACCACAACGTACCAATAAAATATGAAAAAACTTTTGTATAAGAATTAGCCAGATGTGGCTGTGAATGAGGGAGGCAGTGACTAATAGACAGGGAATAATTCAGGAATGGAAAATCGTATAATAACAGTTTATAGGTTAAAATAAAGCTTAGTTTAAGAGAGACATGAATATGAATAGTTTAATTAATTAACAATTATACGGTAAAAATATACGTATAGTATTGGTCCACAAATGGATCCCGAAAATTACCACCCTTTATTCCTATCGCGGCATAACAGTTTCTTATTGGCTAGTGTTACGACGGACTACACTGCAAGGTGGTGCGTGGAGGACAGCTGACAGACACATTCCAAGTGAGGAACGGAGTCAGATAAGGCTGCTTACTCTCCTTTATCTTCTGGTGGTTGACTGGATTATGAAGGCCTCTACATCCGATGGTAAGCACGGAATACAATAGCAGCTTGGATGCAACCGGATAATGTGTATTTTTCAGATGACTTAACTCCTATATCTCATACACACCAATAGATGTAGATGAAGACAATCAGAGTAGCAGAAACCTCTGCATCAGCAGGCCTAAATATACACAAAGGAAAAAGCAAAATCCTCAAATACAACACTAAAAACACCATCTCAATCACACTTCATGAAGGAACTCTGGAAAATGTAGAAGCGTTCTTGTATCTGGACAGCATCACCGATGAACAAGGATAATCTGAAGCAGATGGGTAGGCAAGGATAGCATTCGTATGTTTGAAGAACATATAGAACTCAAAACAACTGTCAGCCAATATCAAAGTCAGGATCTTCAATACTAAAGTTGGGACAGTTCTAATGTACGGAGTTGAAGCTTGGAAAACTACTACAACCATCATCAGATGATACAAGTGTTTATAAACCATTGTCTACACAAGATGCAGAATGTTCGTTGGCGAGTTACCATCATCAACAACCTGCTGTGATAAAGAACAATCCAGATTCGAGCTGAAGAAGAAATTAGAAACAACACTGGGGGATAGGACATACATTGTGGAAATCACCACACTGCATCACGAGACAAGCCCAACTTGAAATCTTGAGGAGAGAAGAAGATCAAAGAACACCGCACTGAGTGTTGATAGCAAACATCAAAAGAATGCGTAGCTACTGGAAAGGATTTCTCATGATAGAGTTCGATGGAGGACCCTAGTGTGCGGCCTATGTTCTTTCACGAGAGGTAACAAGTATAAATAAGTAATGCGTTTTTCAAATACCGTTTCGATCGATCTAGACGTTTTTTCGCCGGTGGCTTTTTTGGTATGTGCTACTGATATCGACAGACATAAGTATTGAGTATCACTGTTCGAAAGTGAAAAGCCTGGCGGCAGAATGTTAAGAGGATCGAAGAAAAGAGAACGAGAACAGAGTGATTGGTGTGAAAACGAAAGAACAATGAAGTCTGAGACATTTGATTGATATTTTGCAAATGAAATATTTACTGTATGGTCCTCAGATTTTACTAAGAGATTGTGTAATTTTGTATTTAAATACATTTGGTTGTCCCCGCCTGTGTTCTCGTTCACTACAGTTTCTCTATCAAAGTTTCACAGTTAGGAAGAATTTGAACATGAATCTAACGAATTTCAAAGAATAAGCAAGGCATAAATATATTGAATGCAGATAATATGTATTCATTGCATTTGTTTGCGGAGTAAATGAAATCATAGTTAACACTGAAGATCGTAGTTCACTGCTTAAAATGGACATTTCGCTTGATAAGATGGGCAAATGTGTAGGCCTTTCTATAAGGCCGTACAAATGTTTGCTTTTGTGTAGTCAAGTAAATCTAAATATTCTACTTATCAATCAATACCTCCAGTTGCTTCGCGTGACGAATATATGTAAGTACTTGCTAATTGTTCGTCAACTTATGGTGTCCTGAAAGATTCATAGTATCCAGTCTATGAAGTAGATTATCTGCTAAAGAAAAGGAGGACATAGCTCCTACACTTCAATAAAGTTACTCGTTAAATATCGTGGTTGTTTATGTGAAGGATAAATTTCAAAAGGAAATCACTGACATGACTTAAGTAATACAAAGTCTAAAGTCTCTAGGAATGGTTGTGTAATTAAATATATGACTTTATTTTGCAACTCAACAGCCAACTGAATTGGAAAGTATCTCGAAGCGGTTTGCATTGGTTAGACGTATGCAATAAGTACTTTTATGAATATTCTTTGTTTCTATTTGTCATTACTGATAATTGTGGGCTTGGTCGTCTTACTATGTTGAGAATCATATGGAATATGCCTTCCTGTACTACCATCACAGGGGTTTCTGCATAGTATAAAACACTGGACCACGCTTTACCTACTGCATTAAAAGTCATGTACAATAAACAACTCACAAAGTATAAATTAGTTCTTCTTTTCATGCATACAACGTTGAGGGAAGGCAGACTGGTATTGCTGAAGGTTCAGGTGCTTATAACAGTTAAGTTTTTAGTCGTCCCAGGTTTCGTAATATGGGTGTCCGATACAAACTTTTCGCGGCGAGTGGTATATTTGCGCCACTGTATGTTAGAATCTAGATACGGAATTTAGTGCACCAGATGACCTTACATGACAACCTGACAATATATCTTGTAGATATTGTAGTATCTAATTACTAATGATTTTACTTACAGTTGTACCTATTCGCATAATATATTCAGATAATATAATATACCAATGTGTTTGCAACATGGACACTTGGTGCCGAACATGTGTAAAACGTCATCATAAATGTATACAGTTCCTAAGTGACTACAATTAAAGGCTAAACTCATGGTATCGCCTTGAAGGAAGACTGAACAGTGATACTGTTATCGATGGACGATCTTTGAGTGACGCCTCAGTGACCTTGAGAGTGTACACCTAACTAGGGCCAAATGGGGGCTATAAACCAGTGTGAGAAATTAGAATTATGATTTACAGTTGGTGGTTAGGGTTAGAAATTAATTTACGAATTTCATCACCAAGTGACATGAGCAACAATGCAAAAACTCTATTTAGCCAAATAGATGAGAGAATTTCACGCCAAAACCAGGGACCTGTTAGCTTATACCCGATTAGTTAGTTCATAAATTATGGCCTCGCCAACTGATCTATTTTCCGACTTATCCAATTTCGGATGAAGTACTCGTTTTTCTTTGGCTTCGTCGTAATGAACGGTTGAGGTTGTTTATCTTAAGTAGTGTGTTCTTTCTCCTGTCGACCATCGTAGAAAACAGGTTTTATTCCATCTATCAAGATCATTTTTCTCCTGATAGTTTTGTCGGTGGTGAATTGCTTATTTTTCCACTCAATGACTCAGAAAGATCCTTTATAAGATTGCTATAATGGTTTTCTAGTGACTTCGATGCGGTCAGAAATAAGTTTACGCGTCCGCAGATGTTTGTCGAGCTGTATCTGGCGTTCATTTTTACTTGGAGTTATCGTTTTAATCTGCTGTATATCCTGCATTGAACAACTTGCGAAGCGTGTTGAATCGCGTGGTGCTTTGTCGTCAGAACTTATTAATTGTCTCGGTTAGACTATAGTTGTGCGTAAACGAGCTCAATTGATTTGCAGGCAATATTTGTTTTAATTGTTGAATAAATCCCAATAGGGATATGTGATAAAGCGTCATTTCGTTGCACGACTGTATAAAACAAATAATAAACATCATGCTAAATTATACTATTACTCCTCGTCAAAAGAAAATTTGGGAAAACGTAAGAAGGGTAGTAAATATTCGTCGGTGAACAGTATCATTGTCGCTGTTTGAGTCACCACGTCAAATCCAAGAATATGTTACATTGTAACCAACTAACGTGAATAGCCAAGCCAGAAATAGTGAACAAGTAATGAAACAAAACATTATTTCGTTCAACAAAGCATATTCACTCACTCGTACCACAAATATTGACTACCGTGTCGTTTATAACCGTTTGAATAATACTAGGGATATCCTTAATGACAGCGGATGCAGAGTGGTAAAGCTATGAAACAACGAGACTTTCTATCTCACACTTTTTGAATGATACCAGCATCACAGAAAGCGACTTAAGTATCGCTCTGGGTGATATTCCATGTACTTTTCCTTACTGAGATTCTGATGCCGACAAACAATGCTTTGTCTCGGTGTTCCTCCAGAACAATGGGTAGCCCGAATTCATCAAAGTTTTATTTCAAAAATCAATCCCATCCTCGTCTAGAAAACAGCTTTGTGCTTGTTCGCTCAACCTTAAGAAAGATATTGCTGTTTTAGTACTTGTTCAAGACGTGAACTGAAAAGGTAGTCGGTTTAAATGGCAAACTACGGTTAACTTTGCGTAGATGCTTCAAACCTGAAATGTGTGAAGTAGAAAAGAATCGGGAGAAAATCATTATGAGGTGGCCTATCGCTCATAATTCTATTCATTTTAATAGAAGAATAATAAAATGTAGTACTAAATTACACTTGAAAGAGCATCCATCCAATGTAGAAAATAAAAACAGTCAATAACAATCATAGGACAAACATTTTTGTAGTTAGAATCGGCAGACCGTAGATTTCTCAACTGAATACGACGTTTATGCCACTCTCTCTAGTATCTTTAGAGAAAGGCCTAAATGTTTTCTTTACTGAGTGACGGTTACCACTCGTTATCAAGTGAAGTTTCCTGTTTTATAGTTTCGGAAAGAACGAAGCAAGAGGCAGTCTGTGCCTGAGGAGGCTGTTTATCACTTGCTTATTACCCTTTAACTTAGCAAGTCACCGGGTCCTGAAACTACGTCCTCAGAAACATCGTTTCATAAACAATCACGGTACTGCCTAACATTCTTATTTCCAAAAATCATCTCTCGAATTGGAAGGATGTTATTTTTTCGACTAACATTTATATATGGAATTAGACAAATGGTATAACTATCGACCTGTCAGTCTAATCAATCTATTAGTTAGGTTACTTGAGAAAAATAATTCGGGCTTACTCATGATAAATAATACAAACAGTTAATTCGTGATCATTGCTGATCTCAGAACGAGCATTCACAATCAACTAACTTAACGATCATGTGAGAGGATAGGATAGTAGCTCAAAATAACGATTTGTCTATCGATGTGATATTCATAACTGTTAGTAAATCTCTTGATAATATTTCTTACATAGGACTTATGTGGAATCTCTCGAGCTGTGAAGTGACAGATGCCATGAGGAGTAGATAAGATACTTTTCTGTGTCTGAATACAGAGGCTAAGGGTAAACTAAACCCTATCTGGATGAAGGGCGGACAAAAGTGGTGTAACTCTAGGTACCACCTTAAGTTGTTATTTTATCTTCTTTACCCTAATAAAATACCAAAACTGATTATGTCGTCAACATTTTTGTTTGGAGATAAGATCGAGATCTGGAGAATCATAAATGATGAGGCTGATTGCCGTGATCTTCAATTTGACTTGTACAAATTGCTTAGATGTACCAGAATTTGGGGCTTAAAGACGAATTCTAGGAGGAATGTGGTTATGGACATTGTACTTGTTAAAGCTCACTAGTATACTACTAGTGGTAACCATTTCCGTGTAAGCAAAGAAAAGATTTGGGAGTATTGTTTAGTCATGACGCAAAAACAGCTCTGAATAGTAGTATGATTGCTGCCAAATGTTTTCGAGTGGTATGGTTACGTTGCCGTGGTTTCAGGGGCTTTAACGAAGTTATCTTGGATTTTATGTCCCAATTATGTAAAACCTTGCTTAAAAAATCGGATTCCAGGAGCTTTGCGATGTCTTACTAATGATGGTAACACATTCGAGAGTGTTCACCGTATGAGAACTAAGTTATGAACGAGTCTTTGTAAACTCTCGTACAAAGGATGATTATAACGTTCGAACATTTTCTTCTTATCTATCTTGTACCTGAAAGTGGCGCTAATTTATATAGACAGGGCTAAAAGTCCCCGAGTTCACGCAACGAATGTTTGAAAATGGCGGATAGATAGACTCACAGTGAGATTCCTTTTTTTTTCTCATCGATTGGTCAATGACTGGAATGCCCTATGCGGAGAAGTAGAATCAGAGGCATCAGTGAACACTTTCAGAAAAAATGATGGGCCCTCACTTGAAAACGAGCTTTAAACGTCAATAAAGGTCAACCAATCTACTATCTTCATAATGATGACTGAAGAGTGATTACCAAGGAAGTTCCCCTCTACCCAGATATAAATCTCAGGTAACGAATAATTTCGTTGATGATGAATAGTAAAGTCCCAAATATGAAGCTCGCAGACTAGTTTTTGCGATTCGGGTGTATACTCTGAAAAGCAACCATTTAGTGTACAGTGTGACAAAGTTTGTTGTTTGAATTTTGTTCGGTTCAACCTTAAGTTGAGCGCATCATTGGCTTTACACGTCATCTATGGACTTAACTTCTGTTGTAGTATTTTGTTTATGTATTGGACTTTCGCAAAGCATTTTCTTTCATATGAAAGAAACTGAAGAACGATGCTTTTTGGAGGATGTTCCAGAGGACACTCTTGTGGCAGGTATACATGTTTTTAGGAAATAATGCTCGCTCACAGGGAATTATAAATTATTGGCCTCTAAAGGAAAGCATTTTGAACGCTCCAAAGATTTGGGAGTAAAAGTTAAGGTCATTGATCCACATGATCAGATTTTGCTCGACCGTGTAAGTCTTTGTTTTCTCAGTAGCATGTTAAGTTTTTTGCATGATGCTCGATACATCAAATAATGTATGGGCCGGCACTAACTGTCCTTTTGTATGTTAAATTTTACAACCAAGCATAACAAGATGAGGTTGCTGCGATTAGTAAGTAGTCAATGAATAACAATTATCATGATATATATGATACTTGCAAACGCCGAAAAATGACTACCATGTTATTTGACATAGTAGATGATCAACAGTTAAACTAAGGTTTAGCGTCAAGTTATTCAGAGTCTATATTGGGACCTGTGCGTTAAGTTTTTCATGCGTTAAATTAGCTTGTGGTTGTAAAGAGTCCAGTAAAAGATGTTTTTATTCATTCCTTAAGGCCCGGGATTCCATAAATTGGCTATTATGCAGTTGGGGTAAAACGCAGAAAATACCTCCTACACACTAGTATTTTCAATACAAGTCTATGAAGTAAGAGCAGCCTGCCTCAGGATACTGAAAACCAACGTAGTCTCGAGAAAAGTCTAATAGACATCGTAAAGCCTTCGGTTACATTTGAATTTCATTGGTTATTTGTCTCTACTTACTAATTGAGAAAGACGTAGGAATATATTTCGTTACGTTCATTTGTGTAGGCCACCGTTGAAATATTGTTTTATCATCATAACCTCTCGGTTACCTTGATGAGTTTATATAAACTCAGTACTTGGGTTCATATTATCTGCCAGTCTCAAATTATGCTGTCACCAAACTTGTGTTGTTTGTTTTGACTCGAGCCGTCTAATCAGAGACTAGTTTGTCTGGGAGCCCACTGCTTGACCTAAAATTTCTGTTATCGTTCTGTTTGGTAAAAGTCGTGATAATCTACTGTGTCAATGACATTAAACTTAATTTTAGCCTCATCAAAGTATCAGGTACTAGAATGTCATCATGGGGCTTTGGTCTGTCACACTGCATACACGGCACATCAATGAGAGACAGTAACTAATGAGTAATGCGACTGGTCTGCCCCTACTTTAGTTATTCACTGCGCAGGTAGCCTCAAAGTGAAAGAAATAAACCCGTTTTGCTCTTGATGGAGTGCTAATGGGTATTGTCAATTTACTTTAAGGAATAGAGGTTGGTCCTACTTTTTTACTCCTAAGAATTTTGAAGATGGTAGTTTGATGTTATCGAAAAGTAAAAGTTGGTGTGACTGATCTCAGTTTCTCGTTTGGTGTCTTTGTTTCCACCCCTTATCGTGTTATTTCTCACGACGTGTTAACGTGTCATGCACATCATTGCGAGATTTATGCCTCTGAAACTCATGTGGGCTTTGTTTTCCCAATACACTTAAGCAGTTTCAACATAAAATTGTTGAGAATTCTTTTCGAACCTTATTGTTAGTCCTTACAGTTCAACCCCTTAGACTGGGAGGTATTTATTTGTCGATTTGAAAGTTGATGTCTAGCAATAATTGTAGGTCTCTGTTGTGCCTTTCTAGGTGTATTCTTCGGAAGGGCGGTTTGTTTTTACTGCTCATAGACCTGGTGAATACAAAATATGCATTTCATCTGATTCCGGTGCTTGGTTTGGTGGATCACAATTGGTAAGGTATACGCTACGTTCATAATTCTATAGAGAGTACACCTCGACATCGCAGTTGGTGACCACGCTTTAAATTATCAAGAAATAGCTACAAAGGACAGATTGAACGATATTCAGCTTCGGGTTCGTCAGCTACTTGATCAGGTTCAAAGCATAGCCAAAGACCAGAATTATCAACGTGTGAGTGATTTATACACCATATTTGTGATACTTTTGACTATTTATCTTATGTCTACCGAAGGTTACTTTTTCTACATAACGTCACTTGTAGGTACTAGGAATTTAGGTCATTAAACCACTCGAATTTTTTAAATTTCTCTGCTGAAGTCGGCATTCAAAATGATCGTGACACATAAGGACGTAAGGATGGTGAAATTTGTGTTGTCCCAAGGAATTTTGACAGTGATTCTTCCCATTGCGGATTGTAATCATGATTTATAGTTTTAATATACTGGATTTGACTTAAGGCAGAGAAGCTGTCTTCTTAATTGTCTATCAATATATCAAAAGTTTATGGGGTTATTTATGACTTTTTGACAATGTGATTCCACATAATTTAATAGCAAGCTTCATAATTTCGCAAACTATGTTTCTAGGGAGAAGTAGGATAAAGTGCAGAAGTGCTGATAGATTTTGGTGAGCAGTTTATTGTTACTGGGTTCTTGTGAGTGCTTAAGTTGTACCTTAAGTATTTGATAATAATATACTGCAATCTGATTGGACTGGTTGTGTACTTTTACAAAAAAATATTGTATAGACCCACAAATAGAGAAGTTTGGGAATTCTGATTGAGTCATTTTACGTTCAAAAAATACATACCTTAGGCCTGTTTTTCTGTGCATTGGCTCAGCAGAAAGGATATTCCCTAGCTTTCAAATATAATGTACTATTTTTTGTCCATTGTTAAAGTTCGGCTTCTCTCAAAACTTTTACAGGTAAGAGAAGAAAGTTTCCGATCACTAAGCGAAAGCACAAACCGACGCGTGACTTGGTGGAGTGTTGCTCAATTGGTCTTGCTTATCTGTATTGGATTCTGGCAAATGCGTCACTTGCGCGCTTTCTTCCAAGCCAAAAAATTAGTCTGACCAAGTAACTGTGTGTATATTCAGACCTACCTACATCTATTGTGATAATCTTCTGTAAATGTAACATCTATAAGACGTGTCTGTGGAAACATCTCTAATTTTTACTTTTCACCTGTGTATTTACATTGGTGTCAGTTCGTTTATTCAAATACCAACTAGTGAAAATCGTATGTACTGAGTATCTTCTGTAAAGCTCTGTTTTTTAATAAGCTTTCAAGATATTTTTAAACCTGTATCTGTCTTATATTTCCAAAGATTTTTGTATTTATCTGGTAGTAATAATTTGGAGATGTAAGGGATAATATATGTTTCTATTTACGTTTACTAAGTTTCTACTTTAGTAAAGCATCCTGTTTTTGTCTAATTGGATTGAGCTTCGAAAAATTAGTTCAACTGTCATTTATTGTGCATAATTAATTCTGCAAGCCGATATAATAGGGTTACTGTGTACCCTGCTCATAAGACTTATGCGTTCGTTTATAATAATGCAATGAAATGTTAGACAATCACTTCCACTGATCATATTTCAGTCTAATTTGATAAAACACCCTATAAAGTAAGGTATAGTTGAAGGGTTGGATTTTTGATGGTTAAGATTAACTTATACAGCTTAGGTGCCTATTCAGAATCACCTTAGGTCATCTTATTGTGGCAGACTGGCTTTACCTGTCTCATGACTTGTATTTGTTTTAGGACGTGAATTGTCTCCCAAGCACTTACAGTAGGCGTGATGGACAGTGCCACTTGTGATTGTGGTTCAGGTAATAAGCTATCTGTTTACATTATCCGAAGAGTGATTTTTCTATGTGCGTATTGTACAGCTAGCTGCTACTTGAGAATGTAGAGTTTTGATTGAAAGTTCAGTATTGCTGCAACCTGGTTGCCCAAAGTAAAGCATGTTTCGGTCTTAGAATCTATTAATTAGAAGTCAAGCATGTCTTCCATTAGGCCATAGCTAAAGGAAAAGAGTGAAAACTAATTTCCAGGATTAACAAAATACGAGGACGTTGGTGATCGCCGCAGCCGATACCTTTTTTGCTTATAATTTTCGTTTGTCTCATGGACACCATTTCACATGTTTATAATTCATCGGATAACACATCGACTGTCTAAATCCTAAACTGGTACTATGCCATTGTTTTGGAATCCCGCAATCTTAGTGTGATCCTACTTTCATCATTCAGGAGTTCCTGTAGGTAGTGACTTAAAACGACTTAAGCATTAAAATAGTTTTAATCAACGCAGGTCCACAGGATCAATATTTCTATCTAAGACCCTGTACCTAACTATAATATATCTTACTGATGGTCTCACTACAAAGAATCAATGGCAACTTCTCGAATACCTGTAAAAGTAGCACCGATTGCTTTCTTTACTTCATTACAAAGCTTATCATAATACGATCACAAACATTGAACTAAGACATACAGTAGTGCTGCATATTTTCCAGGTCCTAATTTTGGTGTTTCTAACCTCGGCAGGAAGTCAGTGATCCCTTCTCCCCTGTGATAGTCTTGTTAAATACTTTTTTGTCTCAATACGTGATTAAGAAATTGCGTTGTCGGACGATTGCTGACAGTCATCAACAAATAAGCTATCAAGCCGTTCCCAAACTGCCTAAGCATGTTTTCTTACAAAGTTAGTACTGACCTAAACATAACTGTTTAAAACCACCCTTCGATTAACAGAATGGATTATCAGCGTTAATATTTAACCCTGAGTTACACAGAGACGTACTTTCAGTCTCAAAGCCATACTATAATTCAATGTGACAAAATAAGTATGGACAAGTGAAATGTCGAGTTGTCCTTGTTCGAATAGAATAAATGACTTTCATTACCAAACATTATTTTTCGTGAATAAAAGTCGACATAAATATTGATTGGTTGATGATGAAATGATGTTGCGAAAGCTGCTTTGTAAGAATGTTTTAGTGGTGTTCTCTACCGACGACGGTGAAAGACCTACTGTTAGTTATAACGGCGGCTTGTCGAAGGATCCTGTGGTTATTGAGAAAGCAACCGTCTTACGACTATTTCAACAACTCAAACCAGATAAGTTCAGTGGTCCTGACGATATTCGTCTTAGGATTACGAAAGCCCTATCGGATGTAATAGCTGAACCTCTGACGATGGAAAGGCTCAATAAACAGTCTGCTTTGCTAAGCGGGGAGTAGAGATTTAGTAACTATTGACCCGTAAGTCTAACCAATGTTATTGTCAAACTAGTAGAAAAGATGGTCCAGATGGCTATTTTAGACTTTGTGGAAGGGAATAATCTTTTATCCAGGGGACATGGTTTTAGGAATGTCATCATGTTTGACGTGGGATTTAAGCAGCGAGTCTTTAAATATGAAACGGATACGCTAGAACAAGTTCAACTGTGAGGGACCGAATTGGTAAAGGGTCTCTTTAGTCTATCTTACGAAGACAGACAGACACTTCAACCTATTTCCGCTATCTTACCCACAGGTTAAGGGGTGATCTGATACTGACTTACCGTATACTGAACCATAATCTTGATATTAATGTCTTATATTTTCCTTCCATCCAGGAATGATCAAATGAGAGTACATTCTAAGGAAGTCCATAGACAAATCGAATTGTCTACGTCTGGAGTTTCGTTTCTCGCACTGAGTAGTGAACTACTGGAATTCTCTATAAATACATAAACATTACTACAAGAAAGCACTAAATATATATGTACCACGCAATGAAAATGAGATTGTTAAGACAGAAAGTTAGGTGAGTATAATGTAAAAAGAACGAAAATGTATAGGAATTAGTGTATAATAATCATGAGAGAAGCAGTTCAGTTAAAAAAAGTAAAACCAGAAAGGATTCTTTCAGCTAAGGAAGCTCCTTTCATTTATATGAAAAAAGTTGTCAGGATCGCAACTGGCTTCTATTTTGAGCCATGTCTAGTAACGTCCCAAGCTAGTGTGTCATGTCATCTTTATGACCCCAAACAGAAACATGCTTATGGTAGCTCAGGTATGTTGAAAGAGCTTCCTGCAGTTACCGGAAAGAGCTACTGCTTCCAACTCGTTAACACGTTACGACCACCAGGCTTCACTGTCCTTTCGCAAATTTTCATTGACTAAGAATCTACGTTTATCATCAGACTCGTAGCTACACGGAGTAGGCCGACGTGCCTCAACAAGTTGTAAGAAGCCTTGAGAAATCCAGTAGTTATAAATGGGACGTTTCGCGAAGCCGCAAGCGACTTTATTCATCATTTTCATGGCTTCATGCAATTGTAGCCAATACTCATCTATACAATTTTTGGTGGGCTGATAACTAGCCTTGAACCTAGCTCCATTTTATACTTAGTTGCAACAGAAGCCCCAACCAACTTGTTGATATTGGTCCATTGATTAATTTGTTGGCCACCGAAACGTAAGTTAAGATTAGCTAATCGCGATGTGAACGATCTGAGCCCACGTTTGGGATACAGTGTAATAACACCATGTAGCTATGACTATCCCGTTGGTTAGCGCTAGCCAGAAACAGTTTTTAGTGTGCGCAAAGTTGCAGCAGACAGTCACTGTTATCTGACTTGTGACAAACATGTCACCACTGGCCACCCAAACGACTATGCCATGGGCCTCGACGTCCGAACTGTGCATTCAAATCTATTAGTAGTTTTTCAATATCTGTCGAACGCGATCCCTGGAAAAGATCACTTAACTGGTGTTAAGATTTCTCTTATTACGATCAAGCCACTCTTATTGCTTGGTATTCTTGGACACTACTTCGCTCGAAAAGTCCCCAAATTAGAACACGGTTGAACAGGAACGTAATTATATTCCAAATGATAAGGTTGGATGAAAGTAGGAATTAAAATAAAAAAACGTTAGAATGTTTATAAGTTTTACGTGGGACGATTCCAAAGTCTTCTCCAGGTCTCCACTAGCTCTGATTGATCAAGAAATAGTCAATCATCGTTCTCCAATACAATTCTTCACGGAAAACGCTTTAATTCAACATATATATTCCGTTAAAATCTGGTGGTAGGGTTCATTCTTGACTGAATCCGGGCTGCATGCTGTCTAAGCGTAGGCTAAGATAACGAAAAGACATCGTTTCTGACACCAATTTATTCTCACGTTGTCGAAGCTTTCTAATATAACATTTCATAACCCACTGTTAACTGGAATTCAGTCAATTAGTTCTGTCTCAGCTCTAAACCTTAGAGTGAAACTGACATCAGCAAAACCAGACGAAAATGCAGCAGGGTCCCCTGAAAAACGCATGTGAAACAAACATCTCGAAGCGAAAGATGGAGAAGAAATTCGTGGTACTTCACTAGAGTCTTGAATACGGGTCTTGAGTATACAACAGACGTGGTTGTTTCACTTTTCTAAAGAAATAGACAACCCTGTTTGTTATCCAATCTGCATTAGTGTGTGGAAGTTGAAGGAGGCGAATTTGAGTGGCATATATGGATTCAAAAAGGCTAACTCGTGATTCCTACTCGCTGATAATATTCAACTTTCGACCGGTCAGTGACTTGAGATCGTTTAGATAATACAGGATTTCCACCATAGGTAAACTGATGTATGAGTTGAGGAATAAAGAGATAAAAAATGAGAACAAAGGAATAGACAAGTGACGCAATGTAAAGGAAAAAAGAATATTGACAAATACTTTTAGGTATGATTTGAAAAAATGAGAACTAAGGCGTGGATATTCTTTGTAGTTATAGTCACTGTTGTTATTATATGTTGTGCATGGGTTGTGGCAGTGAACTTATTCAGTAAACATGTTTTTATTGATATCATAGACATTTGATCTATTCAGGAATCATTAGGTTGTTCAATATTAATAACATGATCAAACGTCTAAATAATAATAATTATTATTATTCAGTATAAATGATGATTGTAATGTTTTAATGGTCATTATTCATATGAAGTTACTGAGCAATATCAGATTCTGATTTTTATATAATGTAATGCATTTTGACATTACAATCTACATGGTTTTATTGTTAATTGCAGAGTGGAAAGTAACAAAATATAATTTGAATAACTCAACTCTTTACTCTGTGATCTATTAACCATAAATTATGTTTGCAAATATTTGTAACTGAGTGCATAAATATTCTCAGTAGAATGTTATGTAACCTAAACGGCTGTTGATAGAAGTCTCAGTAATATATTATCAAATTCAACAGAACTACATTACCAGGGATCTAAAACAAATATACATATACATATATTAAATAACTAGAATATTGTTGTTCGTGTAAACATGTATTTAACTTTGACTGTTCGATAAGGTTTTATACATGCAGATTGATCAGCTGCGTTCTCTTTAACT